GAAAATTACTTTCACACACATGCACAATATCCCTCCTGCAATTCTGTATGTTAGACTTTAAAAGCTCCCTGGAATAATAGTACTATGAAAGAATGATATTCCTCACCTGAGGAAACCATGAATTTACCTTGTTGCAAACTTTCTAGAAACATACAGAAAAGCATCTCTAAGGAGCAGTCTATTTTTACAAATCACTTTCTGGGAGCACAAGAGAAGGACCAGGCCTCTAAAAGTTTCTGGATAACAATTTTTTTTTCATTATTCCATTATACTGTGCTTATGTACAGTTACTCTGACAGCAACTTTTTGATTGATTGACTCTGTTGCTTCTCTCTCTAATAATAATAATAATCTGGAGTGGAAGGTGAACTGGGTTGTGTGGAAGAAATCAGTATTGTACCTTTTTGCCAAACACAGTTAGGTCTGCAAGGTGTTCTGACAGCCAAGAAAAAAGATGTGTGCAATGTTCAGAACCACACAGAACTGCATGGATTTTAATCTGAAGTGCTACTTTTACTGTCATTCACTTAAGTGGAAATAAAGAATTGAAGAAACTGGATTTTCGTCTTCATTGTTAGAGATAAATCAGATTTCTGCAGTTCAGGTTTACACAAGGCCTGGAGGAGAACTTCCACAGTCAAGTCACTCAAGCTGATTTCTTTAAAATAACTTTCCATAGATTTATCTTTAATAATATACATATGTTTGCAGAACCCCATAAATACTTAATTTATTTTTTAATTAAATTACCCCACCCCTTCAGGTAATCCACATAAGGAAGTGGGAATTGGTATTCTAAATTGTTCTTTGTACCATGGTCCCGGATGCCAGTTTTATTAATCTTTTCTTTCTTCCCAATTATTTCACCCACAGACCAAGAATTGTAGCATATCTGACAGTCATCCTTTAGAGAACAAGTTGTTTTCACTATTCAAACAGGAGGGGCATGCTTTAAAGAAATACTTGTAGTAACATAATTTCATTTTAATCGTTCAAATAAAGCTTAGGTGACTGTAGTGAATGAATGAAAATTGTTGAGTAAGGTGGATGGGGTAAAAGAATGGAAGCATCTCCCAGGACATTGGGAATCTGGAGCTGCTGGACTGCCTCCCCTCACAGTCAATAGAAAAACAGTTAATAACTAAGGTAGGTGTCTTATGAGGCTTTCTGGTTATGATAACCCTGGTCTCATCAAAATTGTCACAAGCACTTCAGATAAAAAAGTAACTGTGCCCTTATCTCAGAGCTTGGAAGGATATGGGAGACCTTATCAGAGGCAACTTCCCGTGAGTGCTGCCCGCTATACAAAGAAAGAACAAAGGCAGCTGTGTTTCCCAGCGCAGGGGTTATAATACAGTATTAGAATTCTGGCAACAGCAGGCAGCTGCAGGAATTCTGCAGAAATCTGGAAACAGTGAGGCAATATTGACTTGCAGCATGGGCAGCAACCTGCACCCAGTGTAGTGAAAAGGGTGCTCAGTGTGCAAGGATGAGGAAGGGAACAAAGAAAGGAATAGGAGATGTGCAGATGCTTTATGCCTTCTAATACAAACAGACTGAATGGAAGGAAGAAAGAAAGGCTGTGTTTGAACTGAGAGGATCTGTAAAAGCTGCCTTGTGATATTTTACCTTAGAGTGGAAACAAAGATTCTGCAAGAAGGAAGGATGAGCAGAGTGATGCCAGGTTGGATAGGGCTTGGAGCAACCTGGACTAGTGGAAGGTGTCCCTTCTCAGGGCAGGGGCTTGGAACTTGGAGATCTTTAAGGTCTTTTCAATCCTGACAATTTCATGCTGCCCTAGAGCAGAGCACATGCCACACATCTCTCCAGACTGAAGACATGAAACATCTGCAGCCAATCTTGAGCAACATCTAGGGTGATTTATGTGTACAATAATCACAGAACCACAGAGTGGTTTGGGTTGGAAGGGACCTTAAAGATCACCTTGTGTTTGGACAGAGACATCTTCCACTAGACCAGATTACTCAGAGCCCCATCCAACCTTGTCTTGAACATTTCCAGGAACAGGGCAGCCACAGCTTCTCTGGGCCACCTCTTGCAGTGTCTCATCACACTCATAAGTCCAGAATTTCTTCCTAATATCTATTCAATATCTATTCTATTCTTCCCCCTTTCAGTTTGAACTCAACCCCTTTTGTCCTCTCATTATATGTGCTGGTAAAAAGTGAGGTCCAGTGCCACAGCCTCAGTGAGCTAATGGAATATAACTTTTATTCAGCAAATGGAAGTTCAGGAACCACTTGGATGAAAACATCACTTTGTTGCCCACAGTTGTTCTGTGTACAGCTAAGATGCTCACTTATGTCTCTGCCTCAAAATATTTATCCCACTCTTTTGCCAGAAACAGGAAACACAACTGTAAAACAACCAGCCTGGAACTCAAGCTTTTATTTTGTGAACACATTAGCATTGTAGCTTGCTGATCAGACGAGAAGCTGAAGTTCTGCAAAAGGACAGGTCTTCTGTCTTCTCTTTTTCCTTACCATGGAGACAAGAAAAAAAAAATCCAGAACAATGCATCTGGATTGGTTCATTTTCAGTCACCTGTTCCTTAAGAAAAGTTTCTCTTGCAGAATGGGCAGCCCCAAAGCTGATGTCATTTATCAGCAATAAATATTGACAAGGGGAAAAAAAGGGGAAATGTGTATATATATACAACTCTGGACTGGGGAGAGCCTTTCACTCTCCTGCCACTTCCCCAGACACAGGAGGATTCTGGTGGATGAAGGTAATGTATGCAAAACTGAATTTCAGCCTTAGGGATTTTATCAATACAGTCTCTTTTCCATTGTGCTACAAATTTTAGTGGAGTTAATAGCTAAGTTGCACCAATAATTGATAATGTGATAATTGAAAGAAAATTTATGCTTATACTATCTCAGAGAAAGAATGTAAAATAAAACATATCTTCTCTGAAACCACACCTACCATGAGTAGGGATGAAAAATTGCTTCAGTGGAGTCAAATTTCCACATTTCTTTAGATCAAAATGTAACACTTTGACCCACTTGCTTCTTCCTACAAATGTGAACGTTAAAAACTCCATTTTGCATGGGGTTGTCAGTCATGATAAATGCTTTTCTAATGTCTTTTGAATTGTTTTGGTGTTAAATTTATACCATGTGAGTATTGGGATACTCCAGTACAGCTGAACTCAGAATTTTTCATCTCTAAATGTTAACTATCTGTCCAAACTTTCAGGTATATATGTTGCTGAAATGTCTAATATGTATATTATAGTATGTAGTAAGCTGATTAACTTCTCTTAATGGAGAGTGAATTATAACTTTAATGAAATTTAAAGAGGTAAATTCAGAGAAGGTAGAGGAAAAACATCAAAATAAGTGAAAAGACAAATATTCCCACTCTGCCAAACTTTCATGCTTGCTATGCCCTGAAAGCTGTATCAGAAGGCAGGAGAAAGTTTCTACAGAGGAATGAAACGCCAGGATAAACATAAAGACTATATATTGCAAGTAATAATTTGTTTACAGTTTTGAAGCTATCAATGTTTTTTTTTGTATTTTACACTCAATCAAATTTTCATGAAACCTCAGGTTTTCAAGTAGACCAGCCTAAAAGTGCATTGCTGGCATTTGTTTTTCAGAAGCATAGAAGTGATTTAGTGCATTGAGTACTATTGACAGGGAAGGATAATTGTATCATCTTTGACTTTGAAAGTAAAGCCCAACACATTTAGTCCAAGAGACAGATTTGATGGTAGAGTCTGGCAGTTGAAGATGTGCAGTAGTATTTAATCAACTTGAACTCTGGATCCAGAAATATTTTATGTTTCCTGTTGCAGCATTTAATCTGGGAAGTCCCAAAAAGATTTTGTTTCTGTGTGTATGGAAGGTAAAGACAACTCCTCAGTGTCTAAAAATATCCCTGCAGTTTAAGAATTTATTCTTCATTAATATCAGTGATATCTCTGCCTCTACCTCATGTAAATTATTTCCTTATGAAATCACAGGAAAACAAGATAAAGACTGAATATCTGAATTACTTGATAGGACAAGGGTTAGTGATTCTAAACTAAAGGAGGGGACTTTTTTTTTTTTTACTATGATAGTTTCTCTATCAAGCAGAATTTCCTAGATTTCTTTTGACCTGTCATGCTCATACCATGGATTTTTTTCAGAGGCCAGCTCTAAGACATTTTATATTGGTTGGGTTTTGTTATCTCTATTTCCCTCTTGCCTGTCAGGTTTAAGGCAGCCTGGTGAGCTCAAAGCTAATCTCTCTTGGGATTTTGACACATCTTTTTAACAACCAAAAAGACTCTTCCTCATATATATACTCATCAATACAAAGATATATAACTTTTGGTTCTTTTGATGTGCAGAAAAAGCATCCTGTTCATATGAGTGGGTTTCAGAGTGTCTGTATACACCTGCATGAGATGCCTCAGGAGTCAAAGTGCATTTGCTAACATTATTTGTTAATAACATAATATTTGAAGGCTTTCTTTATGTCTAGGTGTTAGATGAAACATGAGGGTGATCACCACCATTTTCTTGAGTCTTTATGATGCTGATTTAATGAGGAAACAGAGAAGTGGGAAAAAAATGGAGACTGCAGTCCATGTGGTCAGTGCTCCACTGCAAAACACCAAATCTGACTATGGATGAGGCTTGAGAAGGACTCTGATGTAACAGTGCTGAACATACATTTTTTATATACAGGGAGGCAGACATTAAGGAAATGCTGCAAATTCAAGATACTCAAAATAAAGATATTCAAAATAAAGGAGTCAAAAGGGAACTGATCCACCTATTCCAAATAACACACAACTTTATGCTATTTACAGACCCTGCTTCTATGCAAGGTGGAGTCTTCTCTCTGCAGGAGGCAGTGGTGCCCATGCACAGTTTCAGCACATCCATATTCAGAATAAACTAAAATAAACTTATTTGTTCAGGCTTTACTTTACAACAGTTGTTTATCTTGCTCACATATCTCATTATGCTATAAAATGTATGCAACAGAGACTAATGAATTTTGGGGGTTTGTTTTTGGGTTTTTTCCCCCCTGTAGAAATGGATCTACTAACTGCAATTATTCTCCTGGCTGCTTTGTTACACCACTCTGATGGACAGGTAGGAACATTCATCTGTGCAGAACACCCATAACTGACTCCTTTGTATAAAAATCTGATATAGTCTGATATTTTGATCTCTAGAGATTTAGAATTATGGGGTGCAAGTATTATTAATATGTTAACATGTTGAAGATGAGCTCTAATTTAGTACAGATTGTTATTATTGTTGTTGTTGCTTTGTTGTTGTTGTACTGGTTGAGCAATTTGGTCTAGTGGAAGGTGTCCCTGTATCAGACAGGGGCTTTGGAGCTACTGGCTCTTTGAGATTCCAACCCAAATCATTCTGTGATCCTGCCTATCAAAATCCTTTTCCCTTCATGGGGCTAATTTTAAAAAGACATTTTTAATAAATAAATGAATAATTTAAGATTCAGACATCTGATTCATAAATCTACAGAGGATTACGTTTGTAAGATAACTGCTATGAAGATACTTGCATGAGAGCTATTTATCAAGATCTTCTTATTAATGAATGAAAAGAAACAAGTACTTTAGGAAAGAAAATGATCATTTTCTTCAATAAATCTGAGGTGAACCTCAGAGGTGGTTACTGTGGTGCTGTAAGTTGATACTTTCCTTTACCTGAGTATAGCTGCAGCCTAAAACTACTGGCTGAGATGTTATTTCTGCCACCATAAGTGTCTTAAGTTAAACAAGATTTATGAGACCAATTATTGGTGTAGGTTCAGTTGACCAAACAAAAGTGACAAGAGGCTCATAATTTATCTTACTTCTTATACTTCTGTTAACTGGGACCTTCACTGTTATTTTTTCCAGGGTTTCCCATATAAAAATGTGAAGGCTTTCTCCTTTCCTCATTTTAAATCTCAAAATGAAAAACAGATCCTTGAGCTACACAATGAAATACGGAGATCTGTAATTCCCACAGCCAGGAACATGCTGAAGATGGTGAGCTATGAATTACAGCTAGCCTGCTTTTCCCTTAAAGGAAATTATGGGACAAACCCAGCATCAAAGGAATCTGTGGGATGAAGGGATCAAGAGCAGCCTGATGAGAAGGGCTTGGAGATATTCATGGGTGAGAAACTCAACATGAGCCAGCAAGATGCTCCAAGGGCTGGAGCACCTCTGCTCTGGAACCAGGCTGGGAAAGCTGGGGATGTTCAGCCTGGAGCAGAGAAGGATCCAAAGAGACCTTGGAGCCCCTGCCAGTGCTTAAAGGGGATCTATAAGAATGAGGGAAAACACTTTATCAGGGCCTCTTGCAGTAGCACAAGGGCTAGTTCTTTTCAGTTAAAAGCAGGTAGATGAAAATTAGATATAGGTAGAAGATTTTTATGATGAGGGTGGTGAGGCCCTGGCACAGGGTGCCCAGAGAAGCTGTGACTGCCCCATCCCTGGATGGGTCAAGACCAGATTGGATGGGGCTCTGAGAAACTTGGTCTGGTTGAAGATGCCCCTGCTCTTTGCACAGGGTTTAGACTAGATGACCCTTCAAGGTCCATTCCAACCCACACCATCTCTGATTCTCTGAATCTAAGAAGAGAAACAAACCCTGGATGAAGGAAAGAGCATGCAAAGCAAAGAGGGAGAGGGAGCCCGAGCAGCATCTTCTGAATCTCACACTGTCAGGAGGGCAAAAGAGACCAAGATCTGCAAAACTTCTCCCATCCCTGTCACCCCTGATAGTCCTGGTTATCCCTGTCCCACAAGCAGATTAGCTGGTCAGTGCTTTGGGGTTATTCCTGCATAGCAAGGCCTGAAACATTCCCCAGGTTCAAAGCCCAGCTGATGTTAATCACCGCAACTCAGCTGCACCTGGGCTGAAAATCAGATTTATACCATTTAGTTCCGTGCGCCCTGCAGTGTTCATTCAGACACAAAGCTGAAGGAAAGCAGTAGTATTGGTAGTATGTTATAAAAACCATCAGCACCATCTGGAGATCAAGACTGTGTGATAGAACTGTGCAGGATAACCTGCTCTGAAACCTTTAAGGGTTGAAGAAATGTGGTTTCTGTGCCCCAGGAGGGGAAATCAGCACAACTCATTTCTGTCTTTCTGTTGAGGGCCATAGCATTCAGTGCTCAACACCCAAGCCATTCCCTATTTTGTTCCCTTTCCCGCACTAACCTATCTGTGACCTGGATACTTCTTCCTTTGTGTCTTTCAGGTGTGGAGTGAGACAACTGCCAAAAATGCTCAGAAATGGGCAAGTCAGTGTGGGATGAAAATCAGTCCAAGAGACAGGAGAGTTATTAATGGTACTGACAAGCATGGAGCCTGAGCTGAAGGGTTAATGTCAGTTTGCAGATGACCCCTGTGAATGTGAAATAGAAATAAGCATGACTTTAATCTGTTGTAAAATAGCTTTTTAGGCTTATTAGATGGAAGGTGTCCCTGTACATAGCAGGGAGGTCAGAACAAGATGATCTTTAAGTCCCTTCCAACCCAAACCATTCTATGATTCTGTGATTATTAAACACAAAATCAACAAATTTTTGCAAGTCCTTAAAATCACAGGGCAAAATGAATGGCATCATAGCATTTTTTAGCACATAGCTACAGCCCCTCTGTCCCACCTCCTGCCCTATACTTTGCTTCTCTCCTAATAAATTAGATTTACTTCTACTCCAGGTGTCACCTGTGGCGAGAATGTGTTACTGTCATCCTACCCACGAACATGGGCTGATGCAATTCAAGTGTGGTACAGTCAATCCTCCAATTTCAAGTATGGATATGGGCCAATCTCAAAAAATGTCAATATTGAGAGCTACACTCAGGTATGGAGACTTGAAACAAATTGCAGGGATACATCAGAATCACAGGAGTACACTTAAGCCAGCTGGGAGTTATTTATAATCAGGAAAAATTTATCAATGCCATCAAACTATTATTTATAATTCATACTCTGATCGAAAGATGAATGATAAGATAAAATTCTTTTCCATCTAATTAGTGGGCAACAGAACCAGTATTTTTGAAGAGCTGTCCAAAAAGAAAATATTAGTCTGTAGAAAAACCTTTAATGTAGTAATAAATATTTTTTTATACAGGAATTGAAATACGTGATTAAGAAGTGTCAAAGCAAAATACCTCTGATGAAAATACTTGAATTTCAACTTCAGTAGCCTTCCAGAAACTGTGTTCAAAAACATTTGGAAATTGGAGAAAACTCATTTTTATATGTATTCTTTATGACAGCTAAACTTTAAATTTAAAAGCTAACTAGAAAAAAAGAAAGGAAAAAAAAATATTTTCTGGTTCTGTTACTTTGTGAGGTTTTGGTGTTTTTTTACAAGAACTCACTCTGAAATAATGTGTTTGTCTTTTAATCTACAGCTAATCTGGTACAACAGTTACAAGGTGGGATGTGGAGTTTCCTACTGTCCCGCAGGCCCATACAAATACTTTTATGTTTGCCAATACTGCCCTGCGTACGTACTGCCCACTTACTGAGTCATGGTGATTATGGAGATGTTTCCAAAACATCCTTGGCAATGGGATAAAATAATTGCAATCTACTGTAACCATTTGTACTTTTGAAAATACCAATGTGAATTGTGGGTTTAACAGCATGCTGAATATCAGTATTTCTTTTATTTTGCATTGAAAGAGATATTAGGGAAAATTTAGTAGATGAACAAGGGTTTATCTCTGTCAGAATCAGGCATCAGGCACAAATAATGCTGTAATTTTGACCACAAAGGAGAAAAATCAGATGTAAATTGGAAGCCAACATCAAATGAATATTCACAGAGGTAAAGAACTGTATTTCAGAAGGGTTTTGCTGAGGTTTGGAGCAACCTGGTCTAGTGGGAGGTGCCCCTGCCCATGGCAGATTGTTGGAACTAAGTGACCTCTAAGGTCCCTTCCAACCCAAACCAGTCTGTGATTCTGTGATTTTATGATTACCTCAATCAGTTGAAATCTATTAGAGAAGCAGAGCTAGGAAGCACGTGCATTTTATTAGCAGATAATGCTATACATATACAATCAATCAATTAATTGTGTTTCTCTAAACGTTACTGTCCCTCTTATTTAAAAACAATTCTTTTTGTATTCTATAAATATCTGAAATTAAAACATGACTGCTTATGAAAATATTTTTATCCAAAAAATTCTGGATTACTTTTACTGCAATAAATAACAAACTCTGGTAAATGGCTCAGAGCATCACGTTGATTTTGTTTTGTTTTGCAATTCTTTCAAATTTCAGAGGAAATAACCCAATGCAAATAGCTATGCCTTACAGAAGTGGACCAAAATGTGCTGACTGTCCTGGCCACTGTGACAAAGGACTTTGCAGTAAGTCATTCCATTCTCCTTAAAAAAATCATATTCTATAATATTCAAGCCATTTTAATAGCAGAGCAAAAGTACAAAGTTTATATAGACATGGACAATTGTAACTTCTGGAAAATGCAAAATCAGCAAACCAGAGCTCAGTTTCCATATAATATTTCATTTGTTTGCTTCTCTCTCTTTTATTTCAGCCAACCCTTGCAAGTACCAAGACCTCCTTGGAAACTGCAAAAATCTGGAAATGTTGTTTGGCTGTAGCCACTCACTGGTGAAGAAGAAGTGTCCTGCAAGCTGCAAATGCACCACTCAAATCATCTAAAGTCCTGCTGGGTGTCATTGCAGCTGCTGAGAGATTATAAGGAAAGAGCAGAACTCACTGTAAAGTGTATTCACTCTCAGTGCTTCTGCTCAGATTGACCTATAGGTAATAATTTTATCTGAAAACTGACCATTACTTCAGTCTTCAATTAGACTAGTAGCTCAAAAATAACCTCTGATGTTATTTTAGGTTTTGTAGAAATCATGTTTTAAGCTATTAATGTGTTACTTTGTGTCTTTCCTTGCAGTGGATTTGCCACTGATTTATTTCTTTTTAATGGGAAACCCACTTTTAAAACACTTCAGGTTTTTTTTTGTAATTCATTAGATGCCACTAAATTTTCTTCTGTTAAATTTTTTGATTGTTAATGGAATGTCCTCCTGCTAAATAAACACATGATCTACCACCAGTTCACAAATAAAGCTTTTAATTAAAGTTATTTATAAATAAAGGGGTTGATTTTTTTTTAAATTTGGAAAATTCCTTATGGATATTTTAAGGTTCTTTTATACTTCATGCAAGTGTGGATGGGAAAGGAAAATAAGTACAAAGCAAAAGGGGAGGCAACTTTTGGTACTTGCAAAATATGAGGCACACATATCTGCAACTTTTCCTCTGACCTAATCACAAAAATTCTGCCACATCTGCCCACTGATAAATGATAACTAAGGTGATAAATGATAACTTTATTCTTGTGGCTCTTTCCCACTAACCTTGCACCACACCAAGTGTCCCACCAGGCCACCAGCTGCCCCTGAAAGGGTCCAGGTTTTCCATAGCCCTTGAATCACATAAACCCACTTGGATCAGGGCAGAACTCACTTTACCACTTTCCCTTCTTATTTCAGGCCAGTAAAAATAATTTTCTCCACAAGACTGCAATTCTAGATAAAGACACAAGAGGGTGAGCCATACCCAGACATGAACCTGCATTCCTTTTTCATTTTTCTATCTGTATAAATAATATCCCCTTTTATTAGATATAAATGTTCTGTGCCTAGTCTGGCCTGGATATCTCCTTTTATTAAAGTTCTGGGCTTAGTCTTTCTTGCACAAAGTTTCTTAGTTTATATTGGCTCAATAAATAATTAAAACATATAGAAACTGTCTGGCAGTGGTTTCCTCCCCTCTATCATCTTTTTTCTGCTGGTCAAATTACCATCATATTCAATTGAGAGTGTCAAATTAGGGAAATTTATGGTTTCCAGGACATAAATTAATTATTGTAACCTTGATTTTGTACCTTCCTGAAGTTCAGTTTCACCTTCATGACCACTGCCACTGTGCAAGGCTCCAAAGAAGCTGGAGAGAGACATTTTCCAATGACATGGGACAGTAGGACAAAGGCAAATGGCTTCAAACTGAGAGGGCAGGGTTAGGTTGGATATTAGGAAGAAATTCTCTGCTTTGAGGGTGCTGAGGCCCTGGCACAGGTTGCCCAGAGAATCTGTGGTTGCCCCATCCCTGGCAGTGTCCAAGGCCACGTTGGATGGAGCTTAGAGCACCCTGGGATAGTGGAAGTTGTCCCTGCCCATGGCAGGGAGTGGAACAAGATGATCTTTTATCTCCCTTCCAACCTCAACCTTGACTAAAAATATGATTTTAGGGAGTGTAATGCTGGCGAAAATTTCCTAAAACACCTGTGTTTTCCTCAGAAAACACTAAACTGTAAAACCCCAGTACTCTTATGGGTGGATGCATAATTTTGGCAAAACTCTCAGGTGTTTTCTGGGTTATTTTCCAAGTTTTTTCTCTTTCCTCCCCCTTTATCTGGTTCAATGAATATTTAACAATGAATTTGTTTATTATCAGAAATTTATAATAGAGCTCCCTCCCCAGAGAGCCAAGTTTCATGCTCTGGATATCCGGCTATGATGTTTGAGCACAGCAGCAGCAGGAGCTGGAAAGGATCTCCTACAACTTGAAGTGCCACCTGGAGCACCGGACACCCTTCTGGGTTACTGCAGGGTACTCAGACACAACCTTTGTGCTTTTGTAGGAGATTTCAAAAGATTCTGCTTCCCTAGTTATGTGGAATAGAACAAATAGGACATGAGATGAAACGCTAGAAATGCTGCCTGGGTGTTCCTGTTTCTCAGAGCTGACATCAAGGAGTGCTTGGGATACTTCACTTTGTTGTACATGTCCCTGTGCAAGCTGAGAGGCTTCTGAATATGTGTTTATCACACACAGATGGGGTAAAAGCAATATGACTTTTGCTGAGATCCAGCATGTCAAATGATTTTTCCCTCCGTTACTTGCCTGTATTTTCACAAAGTTATTTTTCATACTAATATATTGACAGTGGCTTCATTTTTGACACTTCTAAGATGTGCTTTTTGGTTTGTGCTGAATTGTGCTACCTTTTAGGTGTTAGTCCAGGCAAGAAGCATGTAACACCAGGAATTTCTTATTATTTCTATTCTGGTTCACAAGAAGCACACATGTGCTGAGAGATGATAAGAGCCACTACTACAGAACAAGTCTAAGCCTTATCTGTGGAGAGGGGTGTAAGAGCTCTTCAGCTGTTAACTCACATAACAGGCCTTAAACACAGTTTTGAACAAAGGTTATGAAGTAACTCAACAGTGTGACAGTTTCTGAAGAAATAATATTTTTTATATTTAAAATGCCCCTACGGTAGCAGTTCCATTACCAAATTTGGCCTCTGGGCTAAACCAAAGGGAAGGTCATCACTTTCAATATCCCAATGTCTTGCTGTGTGTCATGGGCCAGTATCTCCCCTCTTTTTATCCATCTATTGCTGTGTTAGAACAAATCTTCCACAAAACTACCCTCACTCTTATTCTTGACAAATATCACCAGCAGGCTAACATGAAATTACAGAATCATTAAGGTTGGAAAAGACCTTCACCATTAAACCATGACCTCAAGTGCCACTTCCACATGCCATTTAAACACCTCCTGGGCTGGTGACTTCACCATTTCCCAGAACAACTCCTTCCATGGAGAAATTTTCCCTAATACCCTATATAAATCTTCCCTGGCACAACTTGAAGCTACTCCCTCAACACCTCATACTAAAAAGAAAGCAAGGGTTGGAAACCTTCACATGACATTTGAAATTTTTATTGTCAGAACATCCAATTTATTCCCATAAAATAAATTCATGGCAAGATGTTTGAGCAAGCCCAAGCAGAAAAGGTCCACTAGAGCAGGGACAGGAAAGGATGTTCCCCACTCCTGGGCTGCTCCCATCATTCCAGGAGAAGATGCCAAAAATGGGATTCCTCTAATGTAAAGGCCATGGTTAAACTGTGAAAAACAGGAGATGCGCTGTCTAATTAAAAACTTTCTTGACAGATCCTGTCTCCACTCTAGGCTGTGTGCAAGACTTTTAACCCCCAAGCAAGACATTTGACCTGCGAGCTTCAGCCTCACTGACTGCAAGGCAGAGATAAACTAACAGTCAGGGCAAGGAAGATTAATTAGTGAACGCTGAGAAAGAGCCCACACTGGGAGATAGAAGCGAGGATGTGACACTCCCTCCCAACCCACCAGTGACATCTGAGGTTCATGGGCTGGTCACTGGGCTCAACCCTCTGCCCTGGGGTCCCCAGACTCTCCCCAGGACTGACAGATACTCTGACACCAGCATCAATAACAATGCTGGAAGAAAGGCAAATGTTACTAAAAGATGAGGTAGTAAACCAGCATGGAAAAGAGCCATGTTAAATATTAATTCGGTCACTGATGGAAAGCCCAAGGCTCAACACATGTAACTGGAAATTATTATTTTAAAATAATTATTGTCAGATTCTTGGGATTTTCTCCACAGAAATGACCACCTGAAATCAAATTATGCTTTTCACTTGATGTTTTGCATCATTAACACTCCTCTGGTTTCTTCTCTTTTCCCACTGCTCCATGAACAGCTGAAAGAAAAAGAGGAAAGCCCTGGATGCCACATGAAAATTAAATTATGGCTTTTATTTATTTTGTTGAATGAACCAGAAGATTTTTTATTTCAAGCACTGACTTTAAACCACCCGGGGCTTTTAAGGCACTCAAAACCATTTATCTATCTTCTTTAGAAAGTCTTTTCCCAATGCAAACAAATTCCAGAAAACTACATTAAAGATAACAAAGGAAGTGTTATATTCTCTTAAACGTGTTATTTTTATTTAGTGATATACAGCATTCTTTCTCCAGGCACATATGATAAGTTTCCCACCAAGTGATTGCTGAAGGGTCAAAAGAGGCTTATTTTGGCAAAAATAGAACTGTAGTCCTTGTGATTTTTGCACAGGACTGACACATTGATGGACATTTTCTGAGCACTACTGCTTCTGAAGCACAGAAATTACAAAATTTCAGTAAATTGAAAGCAAAAATGGATTCACCTCTTATGTAAATGTGGCTGTGCAACTCCAGTCAGATGATGGAAGTGATTTTCCACACTCACCCAAAAACGTACCAGAAAATGTTTCCTAAAAGAGACTTAATTTGATGTTTTTTTCTAGGAGTGACTCTTGTGCAGATGCTACTATTTCTTATGGCAGGAGATACCTCTCAATATCTTGCATTTTATTATTTATTTTCAGCAAAAAAACAAGATATATATATATATACACACATATACATACTTCATTAAGAAATTCAGTGAAGAAAATAAATTTCTAAGGATTAAAACTGGAAAGGTCAGAAGCAGTCTTCCATCTGAATGAAGGACATAAAAATTTTACAGAGAGCAAAATATTTCTTGAAGGAATTATGGGGTAACCTACCTACAATTGCAGGAAAAGTCCTCAATGACCTAAAAATTCCATGCTCCTGAAGAGACAAATGCTGGATGATTGAAGAGGTAAAAAATGTCAGTCAATAAATTAGGTGTTGGAAGCAGTGCTCATGCTTCTTCCATGAATAGCAGTGGTTCAGTGTTAATGAGGAAATCAACTTATAAATGGGAAAGGAGAAAAATGGCAAAGGGAAAGAAATGTGTAAAGAATCTGGAGGGGAAAGGCAAAATGAAAACAAGTTGTAGAGTGTGAATGCAGGGAGAGAAACCTTGTGATAAGGGAGAAGCCAGTCAAAGATGTGGAAATTTGCTGGGCAGGTAAAAATAGCCAGAAATATCAACAATCACCAAGCCTAGTATTTAATAGTGAGCATTAAGGATGTTTTAGCCTCCTTGAAGCCTCTCCCACCACCTGCCCATGGCATCATTTTGGCTCAGTCTGTTTCTGGTCTCGCTTTTTGTCCTACCTCCTAGAGGAGCTTTGGACCATCCTTTCTGTAATCAACAAACATAAGGATGGGTGCATTGGAAACAGAAAACCACTCCAGACCATTTTGACAATATATTAATCATAACATGTCATAAACCAAGCTTAAATCTTTGGATCCTAGGTTATTCCAGTAGCCTTGCACTAAGAGTTTTTGCAGGCCTAGACAGATCAGTATAAAGATTTTTATCCAGCTTTGTATGAGTTATTTAACACTCTGTGCATGCTTTAGAGGTAAATGAGACATATCTAAGGAGAATGTAGCATCTAATGAGATATAGCACAAAAACTTGTACCTTTCACAGCTTGGTATGAACATTTCAGAGACTGGATTTTTCCACCAAGGCAATTTTTCCTTCCATACTCATATTTATTTGCTCCCAATTCATTGTAGTACCTCCTGTGTTGGCTTGCCCCAGAAGGGGCATTGTATTTTAGATAGTAATTTGAGCTGTAGTTGTTCATTGAATTTGTCCTTGGCCCATTGTGAGGAAATAATAAATTCATCTTGTCAGTTCAATAGCACAGGACTACTTTGGGATATTCAGTGATTTAGCACCTACTTCCTGAGAATTAAAAAACAGTCATGTAAATTAATTATGAAGGTGACCAATCATGTCTTCCATCAGGTCAGCATTCAAGCTGCAAAGAAGTCCCCACTTGCCTAACATCCTCAGCCAGCTGGAGGAGATGTTAGTTGCATATAGAAAATACAAACAATATGGGAGTTTTTTACAGGAATTTGTTATGTACTAATTGTACTACCCACATTTGCAATTTGCCAAGGTCAAAATTATTAGAATTTGCTGGTCAGTGTGAAAATATGTACAAAATGCATGGTTTATACTGGGGTTTAAATTGTGCTGTGGCTCAGAGTTTACAGCACTCACTAAGTCATAGAAATTTTATATTTACTGTCTCCTTCTGGCTTGACAAATCCTTGTGTGATCAGACCAGCTGTTTCATGGTATCACTAAACCACACCCAGACGCTGTACCACTGAGAACATCCCAGCTCAGCCTCCAGAGGCTAATGGTTGTATAAATGGTGGAAGAGGCACACTTAGCAGGAGGTTTTCTGGGATTGCTCAGATTGACCTGTGCTGATTTAAGTAAGGAATGTATCATGAAAGGTCACTGAGGAAGAAAACACTTATGGAAGCCCAGAATCACAGAATGGTGTCGATTGGGAGTGACCTAAAATAACATCCTTTTCCAACCCCTTCCCATGGACAGGGACACCTTCCACAATCCCAGGTTGCTCCAAGCCCCATCCAACCTGGCCTTGGACACTTCCAGGAATGTGGCAGCCACAGCTTCTCTGGGTAACCTGTGCCAGGGCCTCACCACCCCCATAGGGAAGAATTTCTTCCTAATATCCAAGACTCAATGCAATTGTCTTCACCTTCCTTTACAAGTATCCTTTTCTAGTGCTCTTCTGACATGATGCAAAGAGTGAACACAAATCCTGGTGTACTCACAGCTACGGAGTGGATTTTGAAGCCTAGAGGCAGATAGTCCTCTGTAAGGAAAGTCAAATGAGGTGATTCACTGTCATGTCTGAAGCCATCTCCTTGTTCTTTTTCAGAAGATTAAGACCTTCTTGTCTCTAGAACCAGACTCTGTACAGGATTTCACATAGGCAGGAACAGCCACATCAAGTGCCCTGTAACAAGTAAGCACAGGGGACTGACGGGGAGCAAGAAAAACACATTAACATAAGAAAAGTCAATAAAAATACATGATTAGCCACTGACAACATCTGAGACTGAAACATGGACATCTAATTGCTATTATTTCTTACTGCTTTCATAAAATAATAGGTAGAGCTCCTAGGTGTTATGCAAAGCATCCATCTTAGCTGAGGTTCCTTTTTATCACAAGAGAAGTTAAGACAGGCCCACTGGCCCTTGCAGAAGGGAGCAGAACCCTGTTATCTCAGTAAACAGTAGTAAACAGCTTTCCTGCAACTTTGGGATACACCTCCACCAAAAGTTTCTGTTTCAGCATTTAACTCCTGCTTTGCAACATGCATGCAATGAAAGAGTGAAGTTTTTAAGTGAAACATGCTCCTTTCAGCAAGTCATGTTTTAGCTGAACATCACCTAACAGGATGTAATAATTTGGCCTATTCTATTAAGAGGTAGGAAAAAAAGCTCATTCCTTCTACTGTTACTGATATTGTTACTGTTATTGATGTTCTTTGCATACTAGAAAGATTAAAAATACTGTCTTGTAATCAAGTAAGATCTTAGAGAACAAAGTCTTTGATATTTCAAATGGAAAAATAAAGCACATTCATTTTAGAAAGACACTGCAATATCAACCTACATTTACAATAAATCAGCTAAGAGGCTGGTAGGGGTGATTTGGATCCTGTTAAGACAAAGGGGCAACGGGCAGGAACTGATGCACAGAATGTTCCACCTGAACAGGAAACAGAACTTCTTTCTTGTGCAGTGATCGAGACTGGAATGGATTGTCCAGACAGGCTGTGGAGTCTCCATCACTGGGGATATTCCAGAACTGTCTGGACACAATCCTGTGCCCTGTGCTCTGGGATGACCCTGCTTGAGCAGGGAGGAAGGACCAGCCTGAACCATTCTCTGATTTTATTGTTGCTATCTAAGGATCAGAAAATCCACTGAATGTTACTTCTCTCTTTAATGTGAAGTAGTATATTTAAGGACTGCATGGATAAACTGCATTTTCTTGGCTGAGCTTTCAACTTGAGGGGTCTGCAGACTCGAAGAATTGAGGTTAATGTTTAATGAAAAAAATGTTTCTTCTCCAACACTGCAGAAATGGGATAAATGTCAATGTTCTCAAAAAAACATGGCTCAAAGTTCAGGAGATCTAAGAAATATTTTTGTCCCAATGTGGAGGCAAGATGAACCTTATTCCACCTCCCTGGTCTCCACAGTTGTGTCCACAAGAAGAGCACACACCAAGGAAGAAAATTGAAGATTAATGTGCACCCAAATCATGCTTTGTAAATCCACATTAACTGAGGAATCCTTGTAGCTCAGACTTCAGCGAACTGAGCTCAGAGTCTTAAATAACATCAGCCTCTTCTAGGAGACATCCTGGATCTGATTTGAATCTGTGTCAGCCATCAAACATGACCAAAAAGGGCGCTTCCATACACCTGGCCTATTTAGCCAGGTATTTTAGGTAACTTCCTTTACCATGACAACAATTGCTCTTTGAAGTTTTTATTTCTTCTGGAAAATAAATAGAAAACACTTGCAGATATGGTGCTGAGGGAGTATAGTTGGTGGTGCTGGTCTAGTGGTGAACCTGGCAGTGCTGGGTTAATGGTAGGACTTCGTAATCTTAGAGGTCTTTTCAAACCTTAATCATTCCATGGGTCTATGATTTAAAAGGAAAACATTGCAGGTTAGACCAGGTACAGAAATGCACAGAGTGTGTCTGGTCAGTTGGATGCCACTCCTAATGATGCTTGAGGGCATTCTCTAAGAAGATTATTAAATGCACATTCTTTCTCATTCTTTAGGTGAGACACTGCCCAAGCAACCCCTTTATTTCTTATTTTTATAATTCCAGAAGCTCAAAACTCTGCCATAACTGTTCATATTTATTTACATGAAGTTTGTGATATATTACCAATGTCCTATTTAGATTTTCTCCTCCATTTGTGAAAAAGTTTACAAAGTAAGCTTTTTAAACCATGTAGTAGATTTGGTCTCTGACCTATTTCCATTGTCTGAGCTATGGAGGATGTTAAAAAAAATGCAATCATTAAAAGTGAAAAATGGAGTTGCTCTTTTCAAATTCCTCTTTTTAGTAATTGCAGCTTTCCTTTTTAACAACTATGAATATCCTTTTTGCATTTAAAGGAGTACAATAATTTTCTTTTTAAATCAAAGTTTACAATGAGAACTTGTGCTCTGAGAATGAGTACTTCACTGTAAAATAATAAAAATACATCTTCAGGTTGTTGAAAGAGATTCTCTTTGCTCATCACAGCCTATATGAAGAGAGGTGATTTTCCATGTTTTATTTGCAATGCAAACTTATTTACTTTATGGAAGAAGAGCTACAGCTTGAAAATATTATTGACTACAGGGAACACAATTGAGGGTCACTGCTCCTTACTATGTTCAGCAAACCAGGCTCTGTGAGATTATCTTGAAAACTATTTCCTTTTTAAAATACATATAGGCAGTGAGAAGTACAACTGTGGCTGAATGAGATGGTTTTTATTACAAACTGGAAAAAAAAAAAAACATACAAGCCAACATTTCACAGACAGAAGTACCCTGGGAAATCGAAATCACTATAGTGACCTGTACTTTTTCCCTCCCATAGTAGGTGGGGCAGTGTGGGTTTTTTTTTTTTTACTATACCACCCAGATCCACAGAATTAGCCTGCTCCTCTAAAGGCAAACACCCATTATCAAGCTCTCACAGCCACCTGCTCTCCAGCAATGCCTCCAGACTTTGACACCAACATGAAGTTCAAGTTCTCGATCCTGGCACTTTTTCTGGAAGTGATTGTCATTGTTTTGTATGGGATATTTGTGGATTATGACCCAGATCCTTCTTCAATGTTATATCCACGTAAGTACTTCTGTCTAAGATTTATAGAAGCTGAAATTTCTTTAAACTGATCCTAAGCAAGATTTCTGAATAACTTGTGAGACCTACTGATGAAGCTGGAAAAGAAAGTTGTGTTTTGGGGCAAACACATTTTTCTGACATGTGAAAGTAACAGGCTTCAAAGACAAATCCAAATTGAGCAGACACAAAATTCTGCAAGCACCTCACTGCTGAGAAGTTTACTTTTCTGGGAAAGAAGAGCCTGAGAAATAGTTCTAGTGTTTGCACAACAGGTTAAGACTTGGAGAACTGTGTATTGCTTTGAAAGAGTCCAGCATTTTCCAGAGACAGATGGGGGTGTTTCTTACCAGATCTTTTATCCTGATTAATGTATTAAATAATTAAAATTAATAGAACATTTCATTACTACCATCTAGGTTTGAAAGAGGTGTCTTATGAGAACAGGCAAATTGAGCTGTATATGCATCATTGCTATAAAATGTTGGTGAAATCTGGACTCCGAAAAAGGCCATAGTTTTGGTGAAAAAGTGGTCACTTTCTATCCTCCCCCTGCTATCTTCCAAAGAAGTGGCTCCATTAGGCAGTAATGGCTTAGCCTGAAAATATTTCTTTTGATTTGTTGCTCTGAAAATACTTGGTGAAGATCACAAAAAGCTCTTGGCCTGAGAAGTAGTTACTCACTTCCCTCATGCAAAAACAAGACTATTGTGAATTAATAGAAAACAGAGTTTGCAGCACTGCAAACTGTTTTCTTGGCTGCATTGAAGGTTTGTTGTTCAGTTTTTTGGCTCTGAGGCCTCAATGATTTGAAGCCCTGATTGAAATGTGCTTGATGAAGATCCTAGAGTACAGAACTCCCTGCCTGCAGGTAGCACCTGTGTAATTTTGAATGTAATTTTGAACCCTCTTTTTCTCTCATCCTAACTGTCCTTTCAGTGGCTGTTACAGGGGCATGTGATCTCAGGTTGGAGTAATCTTATATTGTGTATTCTCCCAGAGAGCATTGTCTGGGTCAGAGAACAGCAAATGAAGGCATATTCAGCTCCATATGCAAGTCTGCTGATGGACATCAGGGGCTAATTACTCACAGTTAGGTAAGCTCCACTGAGATGTGGCCGTGTCCCTGAGCTTTGCTGCCTTGGGCTGTGCCAGAGCCCACTCTCCATGGCACAGTTTGGCCATGTCAATGATGTTCATAGAGCCAAAGGAAAGTTTGAGTTAGAATGGACCTTAAAAATCATCTCATTCCAACCCCCTGCCATGGGCAGGGGCACCTTCCACTATCCCAGGCTGCTCCAAGCCCTGTCCCACTTGGCCTTGGACACTTCCAGGGATGGTGCAGCCACAGCTTCTCTGGACAACCTGTGCCAGGGCCTCAGCACCCTCACGGGAAGAATTTCTTCCTAATACCCAATATAAATTTCTCCTCTTTTAATTTAAAACTGTTCCCTCTTCTCTATCTTTATCTGCCCATTTAAGAAGTCACTCCCCCACTTTTTTATAAGCCCCATTTAAGTACTAGAAGATGCTTTAAGGTCTCCCCAGAGCCTTCTGTTCTCCAGGCTGAGTAAATGCTGCTCTCTTAGCTGGTGTCATATTAAACTATCCCAATTGTATTGAACTCTCCAAGTTCCTAAATGAGGTGGCCTTGTCAAGACAATGTATTGGGAATTACTCTTGGTCCAGTCTCACTCAGGAGGTGATTGTTGGCCTAAGCAAAAGTGATGCCAAAACCCACATGAGTAATTTGACAGCACAGGTAGTTGTACTAACACTACAGTATAGATCTTCAGATGTAACCTACCCAGTCAGAGATCACCCATGCTTATTTCTTCATTAATATCAGTGTCTAAAAAGTGTGGGATGAATTTCCTGCTGTGTCCCACGTCTCCCTGCACAGGCAGTGTATGAGTGTGTTATTCTTGCACACTTGTCCCTCAGCTGCCCACACTGTTGACCTGTGAGCAGCCTTCTGGAATGCTTTGGGCTCCTGCAAACTGTCCCCTTGACCTCCTGCCAGGCATGGCTTTAGGCACAGCATGGATAAGGGACTACTCTTAAGGTGGGAACAGTGTTTTAGGAGAGAAGAACATATATTTCTTTTTGCCAGGCTGTTCAGATTACCAGTAGAGACATAAACCAAGCAAACAACACTGATACCATGTTGAATTTTTAGATGCTGGCCTCACAGACATCATTCACAATAAGGAATGGGAATAAAAGTAGATTTTAACAATACCTGTATTTTCACTTTTAGGACCTCTTGTTCTCAAATTTACCTGCATAAAGTGGAGACAAAAGTGCAGTTTTCCTGAGGACTTGGCAGAAATATAATGCTATGGTTATATAGGTCTGTTAGGAAGTATCTTGAGCCAGGACTTCCCTTGAGTCCCTAAAATGATGGGATCAAACTGCTTCCCATGCTATGCCTTAGGATGTTAACCCATCTGTACCTCAGAGATTTAGTTCCTTCATCCAGGAGGTAATTTGTATTCTCAGGACTGCAGCGCAAGGCCTGTTCTGTATGCCTTATACACCTCAGCACCATGAATTCAAGATATTTCAGTGGTTTTGGACAGAAGAAAAATGAAAAACATAGTGAAGGATCAGCATAGCTTTTTACTCAGGTAAGGAGGGCTATGCTGAGATCATTCCCAAAGCCTAGCTTTGCAATTTATGTGCTTCTAGTGGATACAAGTACAGGCATGGCAAATTGGATGGACAGTTTCAGGTGTGTTGTATCACTGGAATGGGAGAACAAGAGGGTGTGATGGTTCTTAGAGCACTGAAAGAGGATTTTTTTTTTTATTGGCAGTATTGGCATCGTTTGCATTGTCCTGTGAGCATCCATGACTCATGGCTTAGGAAAACTTATGCATCCCTCTTGTTCAGAATTCTATGGTTTACAACTTTAGGTCAAGCAAGATCAGCTCCAGAATATGTCAGAAGCATCCCTGTGTTGAGATTGACCACCTTGCAGTGGAGTTAATATGCTGGTCTTGGACAGCCTTGCAGAATTCTGTGTAGTGGCTTTGTTAGGATCTGCTGGAGTGTTTTTCTCAATCTTTATTTTCCTCTCTCCCAGAAGTGCTGTGCTTTGTAAACTCAACTAGTTACTGAATCAGTTCGGTTCAAATCATGCTGTCTTCATCATTTAAAGTCACTCGAGACCTACTCTTTAAAATCATGCATAAAAGATAGTTAAAGTTCAAGGTACAGGCTAAACTAGAAGGAATTTGTCCTCAACACACATAAATTAACCTAGTTTTAACCAGGTCTTTAACTATTCACCATTTGTGTGAATAAGATTAGACAGCCTGAAGAGGAAGCAAAAGGGTTGGAGGTGTTTGTGAACCACCTGCATTTCTACAGAATCACATAATGGCCTGGGTTGGAAGGGACCTTAAAGTTTATCAGCTAATCCCAAGCCAACCAACGATGCTTTTTCTTAAATGCAAAGCAAAGACTCTTACTGCTTATTTCAGCACAAGGGCAGGGCTGGAGTATGACACTGCAAATATAAAAGAGTTTATTCAGAACCCAGTAACTTCTTATACTTCTGGGCCCTCTTTTGGCTAGGTTTGGTAATGCAAAACTGTGGAATGCTTCAAGTAGTGGGAATTGCAACTTCAAGCCAAATTTACACTAACCAGCTCAAGTTTTTCATGTTTTTTGGCATGCAAGAGCAATAAAATATTTTTTTTTTTAATGGTCTCTCTATGCTGGAGGTTCTTACTAACAGTAAAATCAGAAAAAAATTGCAATTACAGGACTCAAACCTATCTGGTTTAGAGTCAAATCATATAAAGCTTAAAAGTAAAAAAAAATATTTTAAAATATAAAGTATCCATGTTGTGGTAATAGACTCAGTTTGTATTAAAACCATAAAAAGAAAATTAAAGTAATAACTCTAAAAAGTAGAAAAATAACTAACCATATTTAAACAAAATTCATATTTCAAAAAATCCCCAAATATTTGAAGGAAGACTAATGGTATGCTGATTAACTATACTAATTTTTAAATTTAAAATTTGCCTTAAAATTAAGTTTTCTTTTATTCATGTAAAAAGATCAATGTCTTGGACAGTAATTTTTAGGGATCTCAAGCATTCCTTTGCACTGGGACACGTAGCACTCACCCAAACAAATCCCATGTATCATTTTGGACTCAGTCAGAGCGCACTGGCTCTGACCACCTTGATTGGAAGGGGAACATAACTTTTCCATAAGGACATGAAGCTGTTATGATGTTCCAGGTAGCTTCACAAAGAGAGAACAGTGCCAGACACAAGTAAATTTGCAAGTATAAAGATCCAGTGGCTTTCCATAATGATTTAGGAATAAATATAATGAATAATTAGGTGTGGCATTTTCCAGACATTCAATTTTCAGCTGGTAGACTGGTCATGAAGTGGGAAAAATGGATCACATGCATGACCATTTGTCTCCAGATTTTTACCCTTCTTAGTCACTCTTCACAGTCTCTACATAGATGTGTTTTCCCTTCAGACTTTCAGGATGTCCATGTGATGATATTTGTTGGATTTGGTTTCCTGATGACCTTTCTGAAGAAATATGGATTCAGCAGTGTTGGTTTCAACATGCTCATTGCCGCCTTCGGTCTCCAGTGGGGAATTCTGGTACAAGGATTTTGGCATATGGAAAGAGGGAAAATTTCTGTTAACATCGAAAGGTATATGTGAATTCACAAAAATTGATATTTCTATCCCTAAAGCTAACAGGAGAAGCCATAAACCACAATATCTATGGGGTCAGACTTAACCTAAATTTCAGTAAGCCTTACTGTCCACCTCTCCACATCATTCTGTCCTTCATTTATTAGGAGGGGCACTCCTGGTTCACTGGGAAAGGTGACCAAAGTTTGTGAACAAATTTGAGGTGGTACATTATATGTGGGAGGTGTGGGTCCTGTAGAGAGATTTTATTTGAATCTCTGAAGCTGTGGAGGCTGGAAGATTTCCAGCAGTAGCACAGCACATCCTGCACCCAACAGGCATGCAAGGATCTGTCTTTCCATGACACATGGGGTCACAGAAGAAAGCCTGGAGCTGCATGTCTGTGCACTCATTAAGTTTTCTCTTACTTCTCAAGGAATGATTTCTATGAGCATCATACTCCAGCAGGGTCTGAACACCAATCACAGAATAAGAGACCCCATGGGCAACGTCCCTAAGCACATTTAACACCCCTCCTCTTCATCTGTCCTGCCTCTGCCAAGGTCTCAGAGTGTTTTCCACATCTGCAGTTCTTTTTCCTGAGACAACTTGTAAACAATTATCAGCATCAGAACATTACTGAGAGGAAAGCAGGAATGATAAAAGTAGCTCCTGAATGCTTACAGTCAGGCATCTTTAGAGGGACCCATAGGTTAGTGCCTCTCTGTGCTCTAAGATTCTGATCAACTTCTGGCTTTATTTACCTTTGCCAATCCCCAGAACATATTAACACTGGTCCTGCCTGACAGCTCATGCAAAGATGGTGCACAGAGACAGACAGGTGTGCCAGGCTTCCAGGATTATATAAATCATATGACCAAAAACCCCACTGTCATCTTTGAAATCTAGGTGGCAGTCAGGGCTGGAAATTGAGACCCTGGAGCCTGTCCAGAGAAGGACAAAGGAGCTGAGAAAGGATCTGGAGTGTGAGTGTGAGGAGGAGCAGCTGAGAGAGCTGGAGGGGCCAGCCTGGAGAAAAGGAGGCTCAGGGGGATATTCTGGCTCTGCACAACTCCTGACAGGAGGGGACAGCCAGGGGAGGCTTGGGCTCTGCTCCCAGGGAATGAGTGACAGGACAAGAAGAAATGGCCTGAAGTGACAAGAAGAAACACAAGGGAAGTTTAGTTGGATATTAGGAAAAATCTCTTCACAGGAAGGGTGATCAGGCATTGGAACAAGCTGCCCAGGGAAGCTGTGGAGTCAACATCCCTGGAAGTGTTTTAAAAACCTCCAGATGCAGCACTGAGGGACATGGTTTAGTGGTGGACTTCGCAGTACTAAAAATGGTCTAAGAGACCTTTTCCAATCTAAATTATTCTGCAATTTCATGACATCCCTGCACATCCCCATATACTTTTCATCTGCCTTTTCATCATAAATCCAACCAGCAAAGCACATGTATGGTGTAAGCAGGAGGAAAGCTTCTACACTTACTCTTCACTAGCTGGTAAGATCCTTACAAATACATCTGGAAATTTTTTATTTCATTTTCATCCATGAAGATGAACTTGTTAATTTTGTATCTGAAGAGTTAAGGCTCTATAATTTTAATTATGTCATTTAATGGCATGCTGGATATTACAGCTTTTAAACTAGTTTTCTCTTTTTTTTAATGTGTTTGGTTTTTTTTTTTTTTTTTTTTTTTTTTTTTTTTTTTTTTTTTTTTTTTTTTTTTTTTTTTGTTTTGTTTTTTTCTTCTTAACTTCAGCATGATAAATGCAGACTTCAGTACAGCAACTGCTTTGATTTCATTTGGGGCACTCCTGGGAAAAACAAGTCCCATTCAGATGCTGATCCTGACTCTCCTGGAGATCACCATGTTTGCATGCAATGAACACCTAGTTACCCAAGTATTCAAGGTACAACTGTTTAGCAATCATTATTTTCTCTTTATAACAAACACTTTCACTTTGTAATACTTCCAGTTTGCTTATGTTAGGCTTTTGTTTCCACCACAGAATTAAACCATTAAGTCCTCCAGACTTCTTGTTCATCAGACCCTTGTCTTTATGCTGTATAAAATATGTGGCATTATTCTGGGTCCCTGTTACAGGCCACAGATGTTGGAGCTTCGATGACTATCCATGCTTTTGGAGCTTATTTTGGTTTGGCTGCAGCTTTCGTCTTGTACCGTCCTGGTCTGACAAACAAACATGAAAATGATGAATCCACCTATCACTCAGACATGTTTGCCATGATTGGTAAGTGAAGTAATATCGAGAGCTGATAAGCTGTTCATCCCTCTCCCATCCCTTTTTTTTCCTCATTACCTATTATTATGATACATTCATTTTCCCAAATACACTTCTGGAGGCAAATTCCTTTTAGTCTCATGCATGCACTGCATTCTGTAGTACACATATTTTTACAGCTTTTCCTTGCTTCCAAGGATGGAAAAATCAAATAAAATGTGTTTTCACTGTGCATTAGTGGTGATTTCCTTTCTGTTAAATCTTGTGCTTTTCAGCAGTATTGCCAAGCAATTGTCCATAATTAAAAGGATTGAGTTGTGCCTGTCATGGTAATGAATGTCAGAAACCATATATCTAAACCATATACCTATCTGTCCATGAGAACTGTTCATAGACCAATGTACCAGCTAAAACTTTCAGTTTTATTGATAGAAGATAAAGGATTTGTATGTGAATTGTGTTGCTTGTGACTCCTGTTCTAGCTGGGGTTTCACAGTGGTGGTGAGCTCTGACAATGAGTGGGGCATGACAAGGGGTCATTAAAGCCTTCCAGTAATATTTGACAAGAGACTATGTGTCAAAATCCCAGCTGCCAGTGTCAAAAGCTTCTGCATATTCTATTACTTCTTCCAGAATTTTGGCCATCCCACATTTATCACTAATTATTGTCCTAATTTCCTGTTGCTCACTCTGTTGTATTGACCCTTGTGACTAAACATCTTTTGCTTTGTTTTGACTTCTATTCATGCAGGTACCCTGTTTCTTTGGCTTTTTTGGCCCAGTTTTAACTCTGCCATTGCAGATGCCCAGGTAACAGCCATTATCAACACTTACTACTCCTTGGCTGCCTGTACCGTCGTAACATTTGCCCTCTCCAGCTTGGTGGACAAAAGAGGCAAATTCAGTATGGTAAGAATCACATCATAACCCTTGCTAAATCGAGTCAACCCTATCCAGCAAGGATGAGAGAGCAGATTCCCAGTGTCCATCTATCTGTCCAGGCTATCTGGAGCCTTTCCCCACATTATGGTCAGAATTAGAGCTATTACACTTGTAAAACCTATAAAGTCTGATGAGAAGTGGCTGAGGGAGCTGGTGGGGGTGGCTCAGTCTGGAGAAAAGGAGGCTCAGGGAGGATCTTCTCACTCTCTACAACTCTCTGAGGAAGAAAGGTTCAGCCAGGTGGGGCTTGGTCTCTTCTTCAAACACCAAGTGACAGGAAGAAAGAAAACAGCTTCAAGTTACATCAGGGCAGGTTTAGACTGGATATTAGGAGAAATTTCTTCACAGAAAAGGGTGGAAAGCAGTGTAGTAGACCGGGAGTATGGTTGTTGTACTGGTTTGATGGTTGGATTTATTAATCTCAAAGGTCTCTTCCAGCCTTAATGATTCTGTGATAATTCTCTCTCGTTCACAGAACCTGCTGGACCATAGAGACATTAGTCCAGTGCTCAGGTGGACTTTTGAATCTTATTCCAGAGAAGTTCCTACTTGAATTTTCTTATTACAACAGCCAAAAGGTCTCTCAAGGAAATGACCCATTTCCTGGAAACCCCATTGCATCTGCACAACAGACAAAATCAAACCAGCTTCTATGCCCTTGCCCTGAAATCCAGCTCAGTTTTCACCCACCCCTTTCCAGCAGCTGCAGTTACTTGTCTGAGCCCAGCATGTGCAAGGGAGCCTTCAGAGGCACTCAGCCCTAAAACAAGCCACTGCTCCTCATGTGTCACCTCCGCCTCGCTCTGTGTCCCCTCTGCAGGTTCTCATTCAAAATGCCACCCTGGCAGGAGGAGTAGCAGTGGGTACCTGTGCTGACCTGGAAATCCATCCTTTTTCTGCCATGTTCATTGGGGTCATTGCTGGAATGGTCTCTGTCCTTGGGTTCCAGTTCCTGACTGTAAGTATTGAGGACCCAGCTCTGCTCCCATTTTTTAATTATCTTTGGCTTTCCTGGAGCTCCCTGGGTTTGCTACAAAGGGAGGATAGATACAGTAAATCCAGGTAATGATGACTTTTAATAATGATTTGATTATTGTACTTCTGCTCTTCCTTTTGCATCTAGAGATCGTGGAAAACTATAAACTCACTCTAAGCTTCCTATTTCCCCTCATTTCAGCCTGTGATGGCATCCAAGCTGAAAATTCAAGACACTTGTGGAGTTCATAACTTACATGGTTTACCTGGAATTCTGGGGGGTATTGCTGGCATCATAGTGACTGCAGTAAAAACAGAAATGAGGTGAGTTACAGAGAGAAGAGAGAAAGAAGTTCTTTGATTTTTTGAAGGTCTATTCTAATATGCTACCTTCTTTGGATTTAATTATGATTTTTTTTCAGAAACGCATCATTGATTTGATGTCAGGCATTGTATTCTCATTTAATTTGGGTTCTTCTTGATCTCCTGCCTTTAACACACTGTTTAAATGCCAGGCTTGTTACAGATTAAAAGTTCAAATAAAAATAAATAAATTAAAACATCATAAACAAACAGCACATTGAAGTATAACATAGAATTTTTTTTATTATGACTAAAAAAAAAAAAAAAAAAAAATTTTAAATTTTAAAAAAAAAAAAAAAAAAAAAGGCAAAATGGCTTTTTTCCACTATCTCATAAGACTCCAAAAAGATTAAATGCTGGTCGTTTTGACAGTAGGGAGTATTCTCTAATGACTTACAGGACATTAATAATATTCTCAAAGAACTTGTTTTCATCTGTAGCCTAAAACAAGTTAAATTAAAGTCATGAATTCTGTCTTGTGTACAGCAATGGCAGGATTTGTTGGACTCAATGTTCTTGAGTCTTCTCAAGAATCTTTATAGTCTTCAACCATAAAGATTCTGGGATATTTTTCTATCAGTTACCTTGTCCAGCATGCAGTAAGTTGCAAGACTGATCATCAGTCTCAAAGTGTAACAATTTTTTGATGGGCAATGATTTGGCTTTCTACCCTTCTCAGGAATGGTCACATGCTTACTCCTGCCCTGCAGGCTGCTGCCCTGGGAAGTACACTTGGAATTGCAATTGTGGGAGGAGCACTCACAGGTTAGTGTGATGCTTATAGTGACTAAAAATACATGTGAATTTAGAGGTTTTTCCATAGAAAACTTAAATGTATCAATAATTTTGTGTGAATAATACAAAATTTAAATAATGGGTCCTGATGCCAGAAACTCAAATACGAAAAGCAGTTTTCCAGTGTTTTTTTTCTTCAAATGAAGTTCAGGTTTGTCAGGAAGAATTTCTTCACTGAAAGGGTGGTCAGGCATTGGAAGGGGCTTCCCTGGGAGGTGATGCAGTCCCCATCCCTGGAGGTGTCCAAGGAGTGACTGGATGTGGCACTCAGAGCTCTGGTCTGGCTGACAAGATGGTGTTTGGTCTAAGATTGGACCTGATGATCTTGGAAGTTTTCCCAACCTTAATGTTTCTTGTTATTGTGAGTCTATATATCTTGCTGAATACATGCTCCAAAGATACTGAGTTTTATATCTATAGGATTAATAAAGTGTTGTTCTGGAAGGAATTCTTCTCCAGATTCAGACACTTTAAATTCTGAACAGAAATTAGTTTGAGATCAAGACCTACTCAATGAGGTGTCATGCACTTCCATGTGTTTGTGAATACTTCCAAACAAACAAACAGAATGTCAGGCTGAAATAGAAAATTTTGGTCTGATATCTGGTCAATTAAAAGCAAGCTGTTATTTATGCTCTTATTTATGTTTGTATAATGAAATCTGCATCACCCCTCAGAATAATTGACCTGATGTCCCAGGATGGTTAGGCACTCCTGTAGATGAGGAAATCAGTCAGAAAATGTAGCTGGCTGCCTAGAGCAGAGCTGAGGAACATTTATTTGGTCATTTTCTTCATTTTTTAAACCTCTGATGCTGGTTTTCCTGCAGGTGCTATTCTAAAACTCCCCTTCTTGGGACAAGTATCTGACCAGAACTGCTTTGATGACTCTGCTTATTGGGAGGTAAGACACAACCTCCTTTAATTTTCATTATGTTGGAGGATGTATAATCACTGCAACCCCACTTTCCTGGGCTTTGTGGTTTGCACACATGAATCAGAAAGGCTGCCCCTTCAAAATTAAAAAATCCTGCACTGCCTCAGGCTATGAATTTATCAAGGCCAGGCCACCTTCAGGATAATTTTTGGCCATCTTAGGTAATCATGCCTTTTTCATTGGACTCACCTTGAACAAAAAGCAGAAAGAGAGACAACAAATGATATCACAGTGGAGGCCTTTATCTCTCTCTTGCATGCTCACTGTATCAGGTATCCTCTTCCTTAACAGAGGTTGATGACATATTCTTAATTTAGGCAATCTGAACTTTATCGTTTTATGCCAGGACAAACCCAAAAAGGCAAGGCAAGAATATATAAATATACATTCCTTGTAAATAAAATGTGAAGTTAAAGGAAATTTTATTAGTTTTTCAATAAATGAAACTCCTTCTTCTATGAAGAAAACCCTGAGTTTATCCCTCAGTATCCAGAACTGATGGCTCATGTCAGGCTGTATCAATGTTAACAAACATATATATATAATATATATACTAACAGAATTACGTTCTCGGCACATTTTAGTCTTCTTTTATGACAAAAGCAAATCTATATATCCTAAACTGAGCTCTTTTTTTTTTTTCATGGCAGGTTCCAGAGGAGGAGACAATACCTGAAATTTACTCCAGGCACCATGAGGAGCACAGCAGATTTGAAGCTGCCATGTAGAAAAATAATTAATCTGCAGTATTTGTCCTAATGGTGCTCTTTTCTGTTTTGAATGCTAAGAAATAATGAAACAACATCCAAGTATTGTCCCAACCACACCAGGTTTTTAAGAAAATGCTGAAGATAGCTCTATTTTTGTAAAAGAAAACAAGCTTGATTTTAGATTACTTAGTCATTTTGCCAAGCTCAGGTGAATAAATTAGGTCCTTCTAATATATTTGTTCATCAGAAAAAGACACCACAAATTGCTCTTTAAAATTATCTATATTTTACCTTTTGTTGTCACTGATAACAATATAGCTCTTGTAATAAACTCTGGGTTTCAAGATTATTACAGGACAATATATTTAATTGTGAAACTTCTGAGTTACATCCTTCAACTGTATAGGGGTAATCAAGAAGAAATTAATTTATATTTTTTATATGGATTCAAACAAACTTTTCACCAGAGTATCCCAGCTTAAATTTTTAAGAAAGTGTGTTGTCCTGTTTTCCAATGGAGGAGAAAACATGCTGTATTTTGAAGTTTGATTATGACAGGAAGCAAAATGTTGAAATAATTCTTACGGCAAAACACAGAATACAGTAATTGATAAGGCAATATGACTATCAAGATTCCTTATTAATATGCTTATTGTAAGGGAAAAGAAAGTGAAATTGTAAAAAATTAATTATTGTCATAGATCTATTTATTTATTGTCATAGATTTAGTTAGTTTCAAGGACATAATAAGGGAACTAAGAAGGAGCTATGAAAACCAAGTGATTGCATAATAGGTCTTATTCTATTCAACAGTAATAAGTGGATTGTAGCAGTGTTAATGGTAATAAATATAAGCTGAAAACAGCTCCAGAAAAACATTAATTGTTTGAAACTGATTGGAAAGAAATTATGTTCAACCTATAGAAGATTCCACAGAGAACTTCCATGGGACAAGTTACTGACTCTGAAGTCACTGCATCCTAAAAAAGCAAAAGTAAAAAGAAGAAAACTGAAGCTAAATTAAGGAAAATTAACTTCATCAGAGCAGTGATGACAGTGGCTGCTCAGTTCAGAGACAAAAATTGAGGTAGATGAAGGAACTCCATGAGGTGCCTTCATGCATGGGATAATCCATTGAGAGACAATGGATGAGAAGTGGAAATCAAGCAGAAGGAACACAGTGCCTCAGCTCATCAGTCATGGAAATCTACTGCTGATGTCTGAATAACCAGCTGTCACGGTTTGATGCTGACGCAATGCCAGCACCCCCCATGAAAATGCACCTTCCCAAATAAATGTTGTGAGATGTCATCTAGAACAGACCAAAGCGGGCCCAAGCTTAATAACAAAGGGGAAAAAAAACTTTATTAAACTACAACTATGATAAAAGGAAAAAGAAAAAACAAAAACCACACACTAAATCCAAAATGAAAACCTTCTAAAACATTCCTCTTACCCCCACCCAACTCCAACAAATCACAGTGAGACACAACTTGGACCCTTAATCAAGTTATCACCCTTCAATATAATCAATACTTAGTCCATCAAGGGAGAGAGGAGTCTCACTTGCAACACAGAGCCCCAGGAAACACAATTGCCACTTCGTGTGTTGCCATGTCACACATGGCACTGCCCAGAGAAAATCTGCCAGTGTGAAACTCTTCTTTCCATGCACGGTGCTCTCACCACCATGCATGGACAGACTGCTCACAGGGCTCCTTTAAGGATACTTTGACAAGGACCAACAGGAACAACAGTCCAGTGTCTCATTTTGGGACCACAGTCACCCCCATTTTCCTCCTCCCCTGGGGCCGAGGGTGAAAACAGAGATCTTCATCTTCCTGAAGACAGAGGGCATCATCACACCCTCCTTAGCTTTTCTCTGTTCACTCCATTCCTGCACTGGTAGTTGCTGAAGGAGTCTCTTGGCTCACCGTGCATCCCCCTAAAATGCAGTCTCTCTCAGAGGAGAAATTGATTCAGTCTATGGCTAACAAGAAAAGTCCAGAAGTCCAGCCTAAAGCCACTCCATCATCTCCCCACAGCCTTCTTTCCCTAACATCTCAGGTCCCAGGCTCTCTCTCTTTCCTTCAAATCGAGGAGGAGTAATATTTCACAAAGCCTTCATTCCCCAGGAAAGGGTTAAAAGTCCCAGCTGAAATCTTGGCCCAGGACTCCACATCCTATGATGGGCACCTCCCCTCCCACTTCTCCTTCTCCTCTGCCAGCAAATTTCCAGGTGTGTTCAGGCTGGGGTGTGGGGAGGATGGGGGGAACGAAGAAATCTCAGACTTCCTCCTCCACCCTTCCGTCCGCAGGAGCTGGCTCTGTTCCAGACCCTTGTCTCCCAGGCACATGGCTTCCTCTCGCCAGCCCCGCCTGAGGCTGGGCAGGCGAGGTCTGCACCCTCTGATGACCAGAACCAAAGAGTTCTCCTGGCAGTTCTTGCTTTTAACCCCCTGTGTTCTCAGAGGCATGCCCAGCCTTCAGTGGTCACTCCAGGTGCCAATATCCAAACGTGACACTGAGTGGTTTGACTACCAGCTTCCTGAGAAAATGCTCTTCTGTGTCAAACCATGTAAACAATGTAAATATTGCATTTGTAAAAATTTTAGAAGTATTTTCTGCATAACTTATGAAGTGTTGAAATATTTGAAAAAGATTCCATCTCTGGACAGCCTGTAAAAATCTTATCTTCAGTACATGAATTTCACCCCTCAAATTCCTGCTTGGGAGTTCAGAGGGTCTTTCACTCACCTTAAAGAGAGTGAGGAAATTTCACTAGTTTTGAGTCCTGACCACACAGGAATACCTGAGTGAGGAAGCACCACCCACTGGCAGTAAATTAATAATTTGAATTATAGTAATTAATAATTTGAATTATAGAATCCTTAAGGTTGGAAAATACTTCCAAGATCATCTAGTCCAACCTTGGATGGATTATCATCATGGCCAGTAAACCACACTGAGAATGCCATGTCTACTCAGTTCTTGAACACTTCCAGGGATGGTGACTCCCCTGCTTCCCTGGGGAGGCTGTTCCAGTGTTTAACCACTCTTCCAGCAAATATTTTTTTCTAATATCCAACCTAAAACTTCCCTGGTGATGCCCTCAATAACAATATTTAGGTTTTTTTTTTTTTTTTAATCCAAAAGGGGAAAAATGAACTATACATTTTTGTTCTCCAGTTCTCCTTATAATCTTTCCATAGTAATCTCAAGTATAATCTTTCCATACCCTCATCCTCTCAGTACTCATTGTCCCCAAACTTCTTTTTCAGAAGATTCCTTCCTTAGAGAAATCAGTCCCTTAGGGTCTCTCAAAAAATAGAGTAGGGACATGAATCCCTTTGTCTTACCAGAGCTTTAAATGTTATTTTCTTTTCCATGTGACTGCGCTCTTGAAGTATATAACTGGTTTCTCCAAAGATTTTTTACCCTAACTGCTCACATTCACATTGCAGATGCCAGTGGCATTTGGTTGTGTGGCTTAGGGTATTTTCTTTGGTTGGTTATTTCCCAATTAATCAGAGCTTTGAATAATTTGAATCAGCAGAGCTTAATTAATAATCAATTACAATTTCTGTGTAATACATGACTGGGGCTTCAAAGACAGAAGCTGAAAATTTTGTACTAAAAACCCTTTTGTTCTTCCATGAGGGAGCTTTACATTGGCAGGAAAAGAAAGTAAGGAGTTAAATAAGACATGGAGTGGAGGATGAGCTTAAAGGATGGGACTGAAAATTAAACAAAAGTTTAAGTACAACTACTCTAAATTTGAGGTTTCTTTTCTTTCTCAAAAAGACTAGCAATGTTTTATCCCTTCCAACAGCCTCTCAATACTCTTCCTGTCATACCTTTGTTCTCAGTTTGACATTTTTTTATATTAAGAGAGCTTAAGGCATTGTGGGGTGGGTTTTTTTTTTTTTTTTTTTGTTTGTTTTTTTTTTTTGTTTGTTTGTTTGTTTTGGGGGTTTTTTTTATGAGTAAAACTTTATTTTTTTTCTCTTTAAACTATATAAAGGTCATACTAAAGATCATTAAACATACTAAAGGCCATTTAAACATACAGAGGTTATTAAAGCTTACTTTAAACTAACTAAAGGTCAAGCTTACATGACAGCTTTTTTCAGAATACCAGTGGGTGACTATAGCTTTGAAGGCAGTTGTATAGTTCTCCGTTCCTACCTCTGTCAGAGCAGTATCTTTGTATTTCATTACTAAAAAGAAAATTTATTTGAAAGCCATTGGCTGAATATTTGCTTACAAAATTTATTTTAACATTTGTGCTCAAATCTGCTGCGGGGTAAATGCACTAATGGAATGTTCATATGACCAGCTGTATTTGTTTGACATTTCCTGGTGATGTTTTCTTTCTCTCTTACTGGGATTAACTTTTTCTCAAAATACATTAAAAAAATATGTCTCCTCTTGCCAAAGGAGAGCTCTTCCTCTTCTTCTCAAGCCTCCTGCAAAATGTTCATGTTTCAGCCTCCTCTCAGTTCCTTGATCTTTTTTAAATTCCAGATATATGTGGAAAACTGAACATTTTCAGTGCCCTTTTACCCACTCTGGAGAGGTGAAATAGAATCAGGCAAACTGGAGCACAGCTGGACTCTGGGCCTGGACTTTTCTCAAGACATCGTCCAGGTAGGTGAAATGTCCTGGTCTCTCCTCTGGAGCCCCTGGGATCAGCAGCAGGCTCAGGGTGAGCCAGGCCAAGAGTAGGCTTGCTGAAGCCCCTCTCCCAGGCTCCCAGCCATGTGCCTGGGCTCTTTTCCTCTAGGTCTCTGCACCCCCATTCCTCGGGGAATTCCCCCATTCCCTCCTCTCCTCTGCCTCTGGCCATGTCTCTGAAGGGACCCTGACACTTTTGGGAGAGAAGAACAAGGGGCTTAGCCTTGAGGCACTTCACACAACCTTCAGGCTCCGGTCTCAAGGCCACATGCAATTTAGTGTTCAAGATTTCTGCTAGAAAACTCTTCCAAACACTGTTCTGTGGGCTGTGACTCAAGTTTCCTGTCCAGGTTTCCCCTTGGCTTGTTCTTTCAACACCTCCTTCTCTGCTGTTCACTCTCTTAGACTCTGAGACACCTGAGTTAGACTGTACCTCAGCCAACAGAGGACATCCTTTCCCAGTGCTGTGTCCAGTTCTGGGATCCCAAGTACCAAAGAGATTTGGACAGACTGGAGAGAGGCCGCAAAGATGCTGTAGTGGTTGCAACATCTCTTATATGAGGAAACACAGAGAGGTGGAGTTCAGCCTAGGGGAGAGAAGGCTCAGCCAGATCTTACCAGCATAAACACCTGGGGGAAGGATCAAATAAGTCAAGAGCCAGATTCTCCAAAGTGTGTGCCCCGTGCCAGGACCAGAGGCCATGGGCACACACTGAAACACATGAGATTCCCTCTGAACATCTGGAAACACCTTTATATTGTGAGAGTGACTAAGCACTGGCACAGGTTGCCCAGGAGATGCAGAGTCTCCCTCCTTAGGATCATATAATTTTTTAGGTCCTTGGAGATGTTAAAAACCTGTCTGGACATAGGTTGGGGCAAGTGACTTGTGGTGGCCCAGCTTGAAAGGGGCATTGAACCAGACAAATTCCAGAATGCCCTCCAACCTCAATAATTCTGTGATTCTGTGATTTCAAAATCCCAATTAATTAAATGGAATCAAAGTTATGCTACCCTGTCGTGGTTTAACATGGAAGTAAATTTTCTTAGGAAGTTAAAGTCAAACCAATCAGTAATCAAGTTTAGATACTAACACTTAGAGTGACTACTAAAAGCATGGGACACACTTCTGAGAACACAAAGAGTTAAAAGCAGAGAGCTCTCAGGAGAACCTTTTTTTCCACTTTTGGTAGTGAAGAGTGCAGACCTCTCTTGCCCAGCGACAGGCAGGGTGGGAGAGGGGAAGCCATGCAGCCTGTAGCTAAAGTAGGCTGGGGCCCCAAAGACAAAAAAGAGAGTAAAGAGAAGAGAACCAGGCCAGCCCTGTCACAGGATGAAGGGTGGAGAAACACTGAGGTGTCCCAGGCAGCCCCCTCAAGAGAGAGAGAGAAGAGAGAGTCCGTTCCACCTGGAAATTTGATGTCATGTGTGGCAGGACGCTGCAGAGAAGACAGAGGTGGTGGGGGGAGGCAGGTACCCAGCCGTGGCAGTTTAGCAACCCACTGTGAAATCTCAGCTGTCCTAAGAGCCCAAGACTTTTAACCCTTTCCTAAGAAAAAAAAAAACTTTGCAAAACACTACTCCTCATTAATCTAAAAGAGAAGAGAGACAGCCTAAGACCTGAGATGTCAGAAGATGATAGAAAAAAAAAAAAATCCTAAGTAAAAAGAGATAATAGAGTAGCTTTAGCTAAACTTTTCTTACATAACCAGACAGCAAACCCCCATGGCCACTCCCTGCCAACCTGGTTCGGGAAGAATTTCCTTGGAGGAAGAAACCTATTTATTTAACAGACAAAAGCACTCCCTGGCACAAAAACACCACCAGAAGACAAAAACTCTTTCACCACTCTGAAGAGATAACAAATTTAGAAAGTCTCTCCTGGAGTGTTTACCCAGTCATCGGTCTCTGGCACTGGGGATGGCTGCTCCAGGTCACAAGATGCAGGCTCTCGGTGTTTCTCGGTGTTTCCCAGGTCCCAGTACGGAGCAGGTTCAAATGGAAAGGGAAAGAAAAACAGTGCAGGAAAAAAAATTTGGTCTGCCTAGCTAAACTAAGTAATAAGCAAAAGCAAGAAGCAGGAGCAAGAGCAAAGGGAAAGGAAGGAATTGGTGTGTAGAGACTGCGTCCCGTCAAACACCGCAGCCATGGCTTCGATGGTGTTGTGGATGACATTGTCGAAGGATGTTTTTCCTTTGTTTTTAAGGTCAAGCCTGGTCTACTTTGTTCCTAACCACATCTCACACCACTCATTTAGAAAAAGGGCATTTTCATTAAGAGTCACTGGCATTGAGCCAGCATCAAACCATGATGACACACCCATAAACAGTTTTGTGAGAAAACAGCAGTGAAAAGGCTTGGGAAGCATGGGAGAAAGAAATTATACACAGTCTGGAAACAGCAAAGGAAGCCTGTTTCCTCAAAGTCCGGAAACTTTGAGACTTTGAGAAAAATAACAGACTGATAGGCTGATGGATTTATTAGAGGCCTGAATTTATTAGAGGGTTGTGTGAAAAGTGAACAGTGTACATCTATTACCAAGAGCATGTCTACTGTCACGTGTAGGAATGAGTTAGATTGTGAGTTTGCGGGCCTCAAATTGGGCAACTCCCAGGGGCCTCTCCTGGCAGGAGAGACCTTCCTGGAACAGTTCTGTGTCCGGAACGAGAGACGCATCAGATTTTTTTGGTCTTCAGCTTCTGTTTATTGTTATCTTATCAAAACTTCAACACACTGTCTGCACCAGACTCTGCATGAAGGAAAAAGAGCACAAAAATGGCCAACAACCTCGTGCTGCAAGGTCTTTTTACGTCTAATGAAAAACTACACTACCCAATTAAGAAGTGACACCTAAATTATTTTCCTTTCTAACCCAATAACTGACCCCTAAAGATATGCAATGCAGATTTTTCTACTCAATTACAAGATACCACCTAAACCCAAGAAGAAAGAGGAAGAAAAAGAGAGAAGAAAGGAATTCGAGATCACACGCTATATCCTCCATCTTGAACCCATCTATAACATACTAAAAATCCTAAAACCTAAATTTCTCACCCATGTAACATACTACACTACTATGTACAATCTCTACAATCTATTTCACACTTTTGTGGTTTCTGGTTTACCTTGAGGCTTTGGAAGTTTTCTCCATGAATGAGGGTCCAAGTCAGTGTTTTCCTGGGAGTCAGAGCACCCCAGGGCAGACAGGGGGATATTCCCCTTGCCCTGGATTCCCACATTAGCCTGTGAGCATTTACACACTAAAATACACTTAATGTGTCTTACATACACTTAGTGAATGCAGATGGTGTCTTAACCGCAAAACAAAAACAGAAACATCTCAGCTTGTAAGCATTCTTGCATTCACGCACCACATACTAAAAATAATACCTCTTTCCGCCACACCCCTGGGCCATGGAATTTTGACTTTAAAAGCAAAAAGATAATGAGTAACCTGGACAGTGTGCAGAATTTATGCCTTCTAGAGCAAATGTCAGGTTGATGACCTGCAGTTATCCGTGTTTTTGGACTTTCACACTTAGCCAGTGACCCATACTCTCAACCAGTCACATGGGTTAGAAAAAAAAAATATATATATGCCCCCATACCCTTCCAAGGATTCATTAGGAAGCACATGGGAAGAGAACAAGTCATCAGCCATGATTAAAACATACTCTTCAGTGGAAAATAAGTTTATGGACTAACACAAGAGCCTCTCAAGCTAAATTATTCCAGGAAGACAGAGATCCAGAGTCCACATTTTCTCTTTTCTGTGGCAAATACTTGGCTGAATAGAGATGGACTGGAACAGCAACACGTCCATTGGTTTTGTGTTCATCCTGGCTTTTCTATCCATTTTGAAAATATCAGGATTCTGGAACAGCAGCACTTCTATTGTTTTAGTGTTGATCCTGGTTTTTCTGTCCATTTTGAAAACAGCAGGTTCCTGGAACAACAGACAAAGACAGAACTTTCCTCCAGGTCCAAGACCATTACCTATAATTGGAAACCTTCTTTTGTTTGACTTGAAGAGACCCTACAGAACTTACCTACAGGTACTCATTTTCATTTTTGTTGGTCCTATCAATCAAACCCCATAGACCAGATGTCAGAGAGTCTCTCCTATTGCACCCAATGTACTGCACCCATGCATGAGCCTTTAGCAAGGGACCCAGAGTAGGTTATTTGAGCAGAAAATATTGAATGAAGCATGGTTTCTTTACTGTAATATTTTATCCAGGTTTCAGCCTTCAACAACTTTCAATTTAATAGCAAGCATCCACCCTATTTTTGCGGTAATTTTGAGAAAAAGACAACAGAATAAGGAATGATTTTGAATGTGGTGTAAGCCTGTCTGCCTTAAGTGAGATCAGCTCTTGAGATCAGCTCTTTGGTGAATTCAGCTCTTTAGTGATTTCAGCTCTTTGCTTGCTAAGTGCCTCAGCAGACACATGGGGATAGAGACATGAGAAGGCTGTATGAGGTTCCATGGCGGTGTCTTTATTGGCAACTCCTGTGAAGGATTTCAGTGGCAGGCAGCTCTTCCGCCGAACTGGACAGAAATGGGGTTTTATATAGGGTACAGGGGTGTTGGAAATTGTCCAGTAGAAAGGGTCGAGGTGAATATGACCTATGGTCTTACAGCGAGATAATGAGGGTCAGAAGTGGGAAGTGGGGTTATTTTGGTAAAGTCATCGTGACTCGGCATTCCTTATCTCGGGCACGTGACCGCCTGCAAGGCCTTGCAGGGCCTCTGGCTGCTACAAAATCTACTACAAAATGAGCGCAGTCAGGAAACCACCCTCCAGCTGTCAGAAGAATCAAGAGTCACACAAAAATAAATCTGCCTGTTCCGGATAAAAAGCTGTACATTGTCTCTGAGACAGATTCATGGTGCATGCAATCATGTGTAATAAGTTTGAATGTATCTAATGCTAAATCCTGGCCCAGAAACAAACTGACTTATTTTAATAATAATTAAATTTATTTTTAATAAATGTTACCAAATATTTGAACAGGTTGTTTAGGTGTAGCCTGTGCACAAAAGAAATACAAATAAGAAATAAGTCTGAAAACATGAGTCAAAAAATTCAATTTACAAGGGTTTCTGAGGGATGACAGAACTCTCAGTGCAATCCTTTTCTGACTTGGGGTTTCAGCTCTTGACACTTCTGCTCAGTTTAGCACAACAGAACTCTTCTCCTAACTGTTCCATTTTGTCATTATCCACCACAATGGCACATTCCCATCATTTAAATCAAGTGTCTTTCCCTGTAGTCAGGAAAATATCTACCATGTGAGTAACCTCGAGCCAGGACTAGAAAATAAGCAGCACTGGAAGAGTGATAAATCTCTTTGTAGGCTGTAGAAGTTGTAAATCACTGTTCTTTTCTCCTGACAGCTGTCAAAAATATATGGTCCAGTCTTCAGTGTTCAGATGGGGCACAGGAAAGTTGTAGTGATTTCTGGCTATGAGACAGTGAAGGAAGCTCTCGTAAACCAGGCAGATGCATTTGCAGAGAGACCGAAAATTCCAGTCTTTGAAGATTTGACCAAAGGAAATGGTAAGCTGGTCTTATTCTTCCTTATCAGCTTGACCTACTCATTTCTTTTTCCCCTATGGACAAAGCAGGAGCTGGGACAACACTTTGGATCAGAGATCACAAAAGGCATTGGAAATAGGAAGCAATTTCATTGACTTTAGCACACTTATTCAACTTTGAAACTACTGACAGTGGCAACAAAACAACCATAACTCTAAAAATAACCACAGCAATAGAAAATAGCTAGTGACACAATTTCAGGATCTAGAACTGGGCATCTTTGGCAGAGAAGAGTTTTTATCTCTCATGATATGGCTCTGAACTTTTGGAGTTTGGGGCTTACCATAAAATCACCTTTTCTAAAATTAATATTCTACTGTTTTTTGTCATTTCAGTGGTAGATATGTTTTTAAATTCAGAATGGGACAATAGATAGCATGTAGCACATAGAGAACTGTAGATTTATTTTAAAAAGGGGAATACTGTATGCTGAGCTGGGTTTCAAAATACACCCAAACTTCATAAGAATTTCATATTTATATCTCTAAAGATCCTTGCAGAAATTCAGGAATAATTCTGTGAACATTTTAACAGCTGCATCTTTTGTTCATATTATTGCATAGAAGCTTACTTTTCACTCTATTTTTTAATTTGAAAAATAAAACCATAGTTGAGGTAATCAGTTAAATTTTGTAACAACTTCAGTGAATAAAAATTATGGTGGAGGTTTTAAGACATTACCTAATTTTTAAAGACATTTGTTCCTACATAATTTTTTTCCTGCAGTCATCAGAGATCTTCCAAATCACTGCTCAATTCCACTTCCAAACTATGATGACCAGCAGTTTGAACTTGAATTTCCAATGTCCACTTTCTTTCAGTGACAAGTGTCTTTGAGGATATATATTTTTCTTAAGATTTGATGAAGTAAACCTTAAGTATTTATCTTTTGCTTGTATAATGAACCTATTGCTGAGGATTGAAAATACTTAAGGCACAGTTGTGTGTTTCCTCATCTGGATGCAATTTAACTTGTTTTAAAAGTGACTGCTACTAAACAGCTCTATTTTATGCCTACAAAATGATTTAAAATCTTCTGCCACCTTGAAATGTTCTCTTGGTCTCAGGGGTTGTTTTTGCCCATGGTGAAAACTGGAAGGTGATGCGAAGGTTTACCCTCACAGCCTTACGAGACTTTGGGATGGGCAAAAAAGCCATTGAGGATCGAATTGTGGAGGAGTACGGGCACCTGGCTGACTCCATCGCCTCACACGATGGTGAGTGGATTGTTCGTTCTGCAAACACATAGAATCACAGAGTCACAGAATGGTTTGGGTTCAAAGGGACCTTAAAGCTCATCCAGCTCCACCCCCTGCCATGGGCAGGGACACCTTCCGCTATCCCAGACTGCTCCAAGCTTGTCCAACCTGGCCTGGAACATTTCCAGGAGTGGGCAGCCACAGCTTCTCTGGGCAGTCTGTACCTGGGCCTCACTACCTCTAAGGTTTTGTCCAAGTATGAAGATGCTTTTTGAGCCTTCTCAAGTTCAGACCTTTTTATTAATTGTACACTGATTTGATGAATTTGGCTCCTCTGGCATTTTTGTGTCTTGATATGGTATTCTGACACTGGATAACAATCAATGATAGCAATCAATCATAACAAATAAATAGCAAGATTAAATCATAAATTTACATTTACAAATTACATATCATTACAATGTAGTAAATTCTCTTGTTCCTTGTCTAGGAATTCCATTTGATGCCAGCAAAATAATTAATGCAGCAGTTGCAAATATAATTGTGTCAATATTGCTTGGAAAACGATTTGACTACAAAGACTCCAGATTTGTGAGACTTATAAATCTGGCCAATGAAAACATGAGGCTTGCTGGGAAACCTTTGGTCACGGTAACAATTCACATGTTTAAGTTGTTGTTCCACTGCATGCCAATAAAAATACTGGTGATCAGTTTCTTCTATTAAATAGGAAAATCTGAGACTTTGAGAAACAATTAGTTTACAAAGCACTTTCTTGAACAAAAATACCTTGAGAGACAGTTTGGGAATCATGAAGTCAACAATCAAGCCCCCAGTCCCTCAGAAACATTTTTAAAATATAGTTTGAAGAGTGATAGTGAGTGAAAAGTACCTTCAGATACTTGCATGCAATGCTGCCACACCCTGGATTGATTTATGTTTATCTAGGTTTTGAAAAAGAAAAAAAAAATGCTAGTGGAAAGGCTGACCAAAACAATAAAAAAAGTTGCTCGCCAACATTTCCGTCTGTCTGGTGGCAGCTGGAAGCTGTTTCAGCCTGACACCTACACTACTCCTGAAAAATAGTAATTTGGGGCAAGATTTTTACATCTATTTGGTGGTTCTTGATGTATTTTCTCCCACAAATTCATCCAGTCACTTTTTCATGTTCTAAAAAAAATATATATATATTAATCTTGAGTTTTTGACTTTGTATCTGCAAGGAAGGCCATACATTGCTAATTTGTTTTTATAGTGTTTTCAGAGCTCTGGCTGATAAACTCTAACAACTTCCACTCTCCTAGATGTACAATATCTTCCCATATCTTGGATTCCTCATAAGGGCTAACAAGGCTCTCCTTCGAAACAGAGATGAATTCCATGATTTTGTACGAGTTACTTTTGTAAAGCACCTCAAAGACCTGGACAAAAATGATCAAAGAAGTTTTATTGATGCCTTCCTTGTTAAACAGCAAGAGGTAACAGAATTTTCTTGCTGATTCCATCTTTTACAGCTCTATGGAGACATTTATAATTTTCTTTCAGTCCTTACAATTTCAGCTGAATTTCTTTAGGGAAGCTGTCTTTGAGAAAATACATATGAAAAAGTGGTAGAGTTGAACAGATACTTCAAGCTGTTGAAATTCCAACCTCTTTTAATCAGTGAACATTCATCCTTATTTATTTTCTTCAGACTGTATGAATATATTTATTACAGCTTCATCTTTTAATCTGCTCTTTTTGTTGTCCCAGATCTTCTTGTTCTTTTGAAAACATAACACATTATAGAATGGAATAACTACCTGGCCTTTAGTGGGACTTATCTGGGGTCTCTGATGTGGCTGGGTCACCTTCCCCATGGGGAAGGCAGCTCCCTTTGGAGACGGTCCCAGTAAATACAAAGATATGTCAGCACTCTCTTCCAGGCACAAGCCCAAAGCTCTTCCTTGTCTTTCACACTTCTTTAAAATACAGGATTTATATCTTAGCAAATGTTTATCTACATAAACTGCATTTTCACATGGAAAGCTTTGAGTTTTCATCCTTTTATCTCAACTACTTTTTTCAGGAGAAATCCACTACCAATGGGTATTTCCATAGTGGCAACTTGCTAAGCTTGGTGAGCAATTTATTCACTGCTGGTGTTGAGACCATTTCCACCACACTAAACTGGGGCTTTCTGCTGATGCTAAAGTACCCTGAAATCCAGAGTAAGTGGTTTAATTATAGAAACTGTTAGACTCAGGGTATTAGTGACCAAACAGGAACCTGGAGGATCAACACATCTGTTAATTGGCCAAGTTACAAAAAGCTGAGTTTTTCAGCCAATTATTGTCTCTGTGCCCTGTGGTTCAGACCCAGTGAGGGTCACACTGGTCAGCAGAACAGAGTTCATACAGGCCAGGCCCTCTGCTTAGGAAAATCTCATTAATTAGTAAGTAAAGGGCTGATCTGTGTTAGTCAATGATTCTGATCCAGATTTCCCTCAGAAACTGTCAATAAACCAAAGGCCTGTGCAGATATTAAATGGACTGTACTGAGGCTTTAGGGACCTGAGAATATTTGTGGAATTGCCCTTTCTGGCAGCTTCATTCCAGCTGATGGTACAGGGTTGTTTGGAGTCAAATGGGGGTTTCAAGACAACCTTTGGGCAGAACAGATCTTTAGACAGAAGAGATGGCATAAATAAAGTCTTTTCTTGTTGGTGAAGAATCAATCAAACACTGTAGTCCTGTTCACCTTGCATTATTTCTCAAAGGAAGAAAAGATTTTTGGAGAATTTATGGTTTGTACTCCAGATCTATTATATTTTACATCAGTAAAGCACACTGTGTCTCAGGAGTGAATGAGCTGTTGTATCTTAGAGTTGACTCTTTCTTCAGAAAAGGTCCAAGAAGAGATAGAGCAAGTGATAGGGTCCAACCCACCACGGATCGAGCACCGAGCTCAGATGCCATACACAGATGCGGTCATCCATGAAATTCAGAGATTTGCCAATATCCTGCCACTGGATTTGCCTCATGAGACTGCTGCAGATGTCACCCTCCAAGGCTATTTCATCCCCAAGGTGAGATGCCTACAGGATTGCTTCTTCTAACATTTCTTCTTTCTAAATTTGTCCAGGAATTCATTCCTCTGTCCTATTTTGCAGGGAACCTACATCATCCCTTTACTGACCTCAGTTCTGAAAGACCAGTCACAGTGGGAGAAGCCAGACATGTTCTACCCTGAGCACTTCCTTGATGCCAATGGGAAATTTGTGAAGAAAGATGCTTTCATGCCTTTCTCAGCAGGTGCTTTCTCTTTTACATTTACAGAGAACACACAGTAAAGATGCTTCTGTGCATTTCCTGCTTCATTTTCCCATATCCCTTTTAAAAAGTCACAAAAAATATTAGGTGGGTCAAGATTTCATATAGTGTGACAAGTAGAAACTCCCAAATTCTGTGTAAAATGAAAGGACAGCCAGAGGGGACTGGCCCTTTGAGGCTTCCCCAGAGGGTGACATTCACCTGAATTTACACACCTGCACCATTTGCCAAATCGTGGGGAATCCAATCATGCTCCTCTGGCATTTCTCCTGCTTTGCAGGCCCTGTAATTGCTCTTTTTAAGTTCCCATACATCAGTCTCTAGCTAATTTATCTGTCATATACACAAGTCTCTATTTCTTTATCAACGCCGTATTTTCAACTCCGTACGATCTTTGAATATGATTTTTTTCTTCTCATACTCACCATCCTGTACACTGTAATTTTTTTGTCTTTTTTTTTTTTCTTTCTTTTTAGAAGAACTTATGACACTTGCAGTTCCCAGATCTTCTTTTCCCGACTTAAGTCCAGATGTCCCAGCTGAAAGCACATCCAGGGAGTGTCAGGTCTGGGCAGTCCCTGGAGGCCTCATTTCGTATCACAGCCATGCAATAGCTCTCCATTTTTGGTCACACAGGGGTGTTAACACCAAATTTTAGTTCAGGTTTTTGTTAGTTCTGGGCTTGAATCATCATATTAATAAGGCAGTTTACTAGCTACTGGATTTGATAGAACTTACATTTACAGCACTTTTGAATATTCATAGAATATCCCCTCCACCCTGCTTCTCACTCTGGCCACTATTTGTGAATTTGTGAATCTTTAAGGAATTTGCTGACAAATTTTAGTATAAAAAAATAGATCTGAAGTCTAGACTAAACCAGTTGGTTTGGGATACAAAACTTGAGCCAAGCTGAGGAAAAATATGAAGCAAAAATTCAGATTTTATTGAAAACTGGAGTTGAGGAATTCAGAGTACATTTCCATACATTTTTCTCTGAATGCAAGCATTTAGACAATGGAAAATAAAAAACCATCACTAGCTGGCTTTGGTATGATACCTTTAAAGATCAAAACTCCTCTCTCTCTGTTAACTTGTACCCAAGAGTTTCAAAATCTACTGTGTTCTTTATTCATATCTAGGATATAACATTCAAATGTTCTGGATTCCCATTAACCATTTTCAGGTCAAGAGCTGATAAAAGGGGTTTTTTTTTCTTCCAATACTGAAGAAGCAGCTCTCACTGATTTTCTTGTCCTTTTGCCTTTTGTTCTAGGGCGGAGGATCTGTGCTGGGGAAACTCTTGCCAAAATGGAGCTCTTCCTCTTCTTCACCAGTCTCCTGCAGAGGTTCAACTTCCACCCTCCACCTGGAGTTTCCAGCTCAGACCTGGACCTCAGCCCTGCCATTTCATTTAATGTCATCCCCAAACCCTACAAAATGTGTGCTGTAGCACGTTCCTAGAGCTCTAATTGACATTCAATGTGTTTCTAAACTGCTGAAACCATTTTTCCATGACATCTGTCTTATTCTTTGACCAAAACAATCCATATTTCAATGAGGGTTTCCAGTACTTCTAAACTAGTGTTCTTTTATTTTTTGGGAGAGGGAAGAAATGGACCAGAAGTGTGAAGTAATGGATGGCTTATGGATTAATCTCAGATCACCTAATCTTGGCTACATAATACAGGTCCTTCAGCTTTCCTATTCTTGCTGCCATGTTCTCTGTTTGTTGAAAACATATCCCAAAAAAACACTCCCTAGTCCAGGTTTTTCCCAAAAGATATAGGGGCTATGAAGCTCTGCTTAGGTTGTACAAGGAGACAACAAATGTGGGATGTTCAGAGTTTCAGGCTGTCAGAACAGAAGGCCTGTTTGACCTTGGCTGTCAGCTGGGTTTGAAGCTGGGCTGGATATCCTGATGTTCCCCAGTGCAGCTTCTTCCCTTGACTCTTCTCCCTACTCCATTTCCACATGCAAAGAGATCAGTTCTGTACTTGCTGTAGATCACTTCTAAGGAAAAAAACTCAAGCCAAGTTGATCTGAATCCAGCAGTTCTTCAAGATTTTCCCTGAGTATTCCTTAAATAGATAAACTCAGTACATAAAGCATACACACAGAGGAAATTACCTTACCTACTTAAAGCCAAGGTTTGTGAAACTGAAATTTCAGGTGCTCCCTTGTCAAATCACAGAGCTGTGGTCACAGCTGCACACACATATCAATAGTGAACCTACTGAAAGAGGCCTCAAATCCCATCAAAACCAACAATCTGATCATTCTGCAACTCTGTCCAAGAGTATAGACCGTCGAGATAAGACCACCTCCTAAATGACTGGATTTATGTTCTGTGGTTCATGTTACCCTGTTTGTGTGTGCATGACAACCCCAAAGTAACAACATCCACAGCCAACCTATCATAAATCACCCACGGAAAAAAATTAAAGTAATTATGACTTGCCTCTGTATCTATCCAGCACTGTAATGCAGAAGCTCATTCTTCAGTTACTATTTCAATTTCCTTGTGTATAAGCTGAATCTGACTCCTACTCACTGCCCTTCTCCACAAGTTCTTTTCAAAATAAAAAAACTTTCAAAAAGGCAAAGGTCTCTATGTGGTTCAGGAAGTTCAAAACCCACACAGTAAATCACCCTTAATGAAAGGAAAGGAGTATATTTTTACTTAACCTCTTTATGGTATGCAGTAAAATCTTTAACCCATGCTCTGGATTAAATTATTTTCTGATATTGGTAATACCACTAACTGCTTCCCTTGCCAAGTGATAACAAATTTGAGAAATACTTCTAAATAATTATATTCCTTTTCCTGTGATTCAGTATAAAGCAAGTATTTAGCCTGGTTTTCCTGATCCTACATGGGTTAGGTAATCCTATGAGGAGTAGAGAGCTGAAATCAGGTTACAGGTTCGTTCCAACTTGATATATTCCATTATTCTAACTCCAGAGAGACTTTCAAACCGTCATAGAAGAGAGATAATTAGCTTTTGTCTCATTAAGGGTAGCAGCAGCTTGTAAACAGCAAAGAGTTTATGAAGCAAGTCAGTGTAAAGAGCACTGCTATCTTTCAGCAGGTAATTTAACTTGAGAAAGCACTTTATGTTGTTTGATTTTGGTTTTTGTATTAAGTAATGAAAATGTAAAGGCTATTTTTACATGCTATAAAAACTATTCAATTTTCTTCAATCAAGGGTTTTTGGTAAAAAATAGTAAGAAAGTTGAACAGGGGATTTACAACTGAATATTAGATAAGCTTATTTTTATTACCTGTTTCAGGTTTAAACTCCCAAATAAAAACTACTTTTGTAGAAGACATGGTCTTCAGTGATTTACAGATAAAGAAGTGCAAATAGAATGGAATAGTTCCCTTATTCTGTAAAAATACCCAAATAATCCAGGACCATTTCCCTCTCTTCTAAGACTGGATATGTCATCATTAGAAGTCATCACAGGTCAAAAAAAAAATCATAAAAGCTTGACAGATGACTTAAATCACTTGAGTTCCAAAATGTATCTACACATTTATATACCAATGTTAATAGAAAATGTTTTAACAGAAATTCAGCAGTCACAAAAGGAAGGCCATTAGGAACACAGCATGGAGACTCCACACATTTTGGCTTCTCAAAGCAAATCCACCTTCTCATAGGTCTTTTCAATAAGGGTTAACAAGTTCTTCAAGTCAGCTGACTGCTGAATAGTATTCATATCCTTTAAAAGGCCCTTCTGATTCTTTACCTTCAAAATTTCCTCCTAAAGAAGGAAAGAATCATAGACAACAAATAAAAAAACACTTTTGTTGAGTGCAAGAGGAATTTCACTTTCATGCAGCCCAGCTACAGTTCAAACAAAAACAGATACAAAGTCACAGAATGAGTCTTCCCTCTATCAATTATTGATATATTTCAGAAATTACACAAAGTCACAGAATGAGTCTTCCCTCTAAGTTCCCTAGGGCCACAGGGTTTCTAGGAAAAGACAGACGATGTTTTAAATCATAAGAGCACAGAATTGTTTGGGTTGGAAGGGACATTAAAGATCAGCTTGCTTCAACCCCCTGCCACAAGGTTCCACTATCCCAGGCTGCTCAGAGCTCCATCCAACCTGGCTTTGAACACTTCCAGAGATGAGAAGGGTTTTTAGGGTTTTGTCCTTTTTCTAAAGCATAAGCATGTAGTTCTCAAGGAAAAGAACAAAAATATAACATGAAAATCTATTCAAATTTTCTGAATTTTCAGAATTGTCCCCTCTGGCAGAAGTTAAGGGATAAAAGCACATTCTCTTGCCTTCTTCCTCATAACCAAAGTCCCTCTGAAAAGATAAACAGAAATTCCACACTCACCTGCAAAGTAGGTGCCTGCAAACTGCACTTGGGGAGTTCTGGAAGTTCGAGTGCACCACTGCCATTTTCCTGAAATACCTAGAAAAAGAAGAGAATGAAAAAAAACAATCCAAACTGCCAAATATCAGGCAGACAAGTATGAAAATAACCTGTCATTATCCAACTTCTGAAAACAAGCTCAATTATGCAACTGAAATTGGAAAGATTAAGATCCATTCCCAAAAGCAAATGAGGCCTTTCTTAAATGACACTGCCTGAGAAACAGCTTGCTTGAGAAAGCTCTGGAAGTCAGCCCATTCCTCTAGGTTACAGGAGTACACACGTTTTTATGAGAAATACCTTCCTGGCATTTTCTTCATCTTTCTGTAACTGGCTCTTGAGCACCTGGATTTTGTACTGCAGTTGCTGTATATTTTCCTCAATGCGCTCTGCTGATCTCTCTGCTTCGGTTATTTCTTCCTAAAACAAACAATCACAAAACTGGAAGAAAATTTACTTTAGAAATGGTGAATGCTTCCCACAGAACACACTGAGTGACTGAAAAACATCCAAAAAGAGACAGTGCTTTGCAGCAAAGGTGACTGACAATGAACACTGGACACCCCTCCACAACAGCACAAGCATAGCAAGCAGTGTGATAAGGTATTTCTTTCCCTTCCTTGCTTTTCCTACCTGCAGTTGTACCAAAGACTCCTCATTTGTATTAAGCATTTGTTTCTCTGCCATTTGAAGGCCCAGGATATTCTTCAGGTTGCCCAGCTTCCCTGGAGGCACCTTTAAAGTCTTGAAACTTGCCAGCACCCTTCAATTACAGAAAAAGGAAAGCATGACTTGTTTGGAGTTCTTTGCAAAGCAAAAAGAAAATTCTGGGGGAAAACTAATCTCACTATAGTTTTAAACTTAATTGCTGCCAGTGAAGTAAATGACTGCAGAGGGAAAGAAAAACTGCCTTGAATTGTTTTCCAAAATCATGTGGGGCAGGTGTCCAAGGAAAGAACCAGGAACAAGAAATTCCAAAATTCTCATGTTTGCTATTGCACTGACCTTGTGTGGCTTATATTCCACTGGCCTCTACACGCCCTGACTATAAACCAACATTCATTAATATTTTCCTAATATTTTCCCAGTTCTGACCTTTCTGCTTCTCAAATTAAGTTCTAAAAGGAGACCACAACTGCTTCCAAATTTTAATAAAACCTGGAAATGCTTTTATGAAACATGATACATAGCTTTATATATATATCTAAATATATATATCTGTCAGAGAGAATATTTTAGCTCGCCCTCAAAGTATGGTACAAAACAACTGGGTAGAAGGAACCTTTTCTCTCCCTCTTTTCTTTTACTTTATAATTTATTACCTGGTTTTCAGTACATTGAGATGCTTCTGAACATCATCTTTTTCCTCTCTCTGTTGAGACAAAACAGATCTGGAAAGATAATACAGGCAGAATTTCCATCACAAAGGTCTCTTCCAACACAAAGTGTGCAAGCACAGAGAACGCATCAAAAAACACATTTACTTCCCAGAAGTAATACTATGATTTTTACTTTGTTGCTTGAGGAAATAAAGAAGAACCACTAGGATATTTGGCACTTACAGTACTACTGAATCCACTATATTTTCCAGGAATAGCCTACTGTTCTCTGAGAGGGGCTGCCAAGATCTTATTGTAGCACTGGACAGCTTCACCTTTTTTGAAGAACCATTTTCTCCTGTTATCACAAAGGAAAAAAGGGAAAGGGATGACTTGTCAAACGTGGACAGACAGCTTTGTGACTCAATTCAGTCAGACTGGAGTCAAAGGTGTAAAACAGTTCAGATTTAACAGGAAAAAACAGGACCCTACCTGCAGGGGAATAGTCCTTCAGATCCTTAACTTTCCTTTTGCCTGTCTGAGGTTCCTGCTGAAGGGAAAAAAATACCACAAATGTGGCAATTTTGAGACATCCTCTGCTGTGAAATCATTAATCTACTTCTATGAACTCACTATGCCAGTGTCTGACAAGTCTTTGACCACAAAAAAAAAAAAAAAAGCTTTACTGATGACTGCTCAAAAGAGCTCTTCACACTGGTCTAATTTTAAAAGTAAAAAAAAAAAAAATACCCCAGTAACTTTTCTACATGTTTGATCCAAATTAATGAATACCTGTCTTTTTTTACTTTGTTTTCTTCCTTGTTCATCTGCTCCCTTTTTTTTGCTGGAAGGCCCTTGCTGATTTTGTGATTTTAAAGGATTTTTTGCTGATCTGCCACCACTTGGTTTCCCCATTTTATTGGAAGATGTGTGGCGGGGTTTCATTAGCTGTAAACCTATGGGAACAGGAGGAAACAATGAAAAAATTAAAATCCAGCAATTATAACCCATAAAGTGCAAACCATACTTTAAAAAAGCCATGGAAATTAGGCTCAACCCAAATAAACCCCAAATGAACCTAAATGAGATGATATGTTTGAATATTTGCTAACCTAGAGCCCAAATCTTGTAAATTTACCTAAAAGTAGGACCACAAAAAAGCATCCCCATTTGAAAGATATCTCTGCCCGCAGCAGAGTGTTGGAAATAGATGATATTTAAGGTCTCTTCCAACCCAAACTATTCAGTAATTCATCTTTCTAACTTTCAGTGCAGCCATCCAATTACCAGAACTTTTTACCTTAGCACATAAGCACATCGGTGTCTGACACAGTTTAAACCAACAGATTTTTTTTTTCTTACTCTAGAGACAGAGGGAAAAGCCATCACACAGAAGGGAATAGCCACAAACCCCACCACCCTTCTCGCCTCTAAAGCACCACGATTCAGATTTATTCAGCTTTTCACTCACCCCCTCAGGCCACTCCCTCACTCAGGTCCTGTCACTTCTCACCAGGCAAGAGTTAAAATTGATAGCGATAAGTAAGCCCCGGCCGGGTTAATGAGGCCTAAAACAGGTAAAGAAACCATATGCCAGGCAAACAAACTCCACACCAGCTAAATAAGCCCTAAAACAAGTGAATAAATCCTGTATGTCCCCCTCTCCTTAACTATCCGTTGTGGGACAGCTTTCACAACGGACCGCAAATAAGCGATGGACTACAACTCCCGGCATGCATCGCTCCCCACCGCCACGCAAAATACACACTCCTCGACTGCAGCGCATGCTGGGAGTTGTAGTCATTCCCCACCCATACGATCGTACATCCCCAAATGCCCGCTCCCCGGCGCTTCTGAAGAGCAGCGCGGATAACAACTCCACAAAATTCTTCCTCTCCTCCCGTTTCATGTCTCCCCACTCCTCACCTTCCCGGCGCTGCCTCCCCCGCCTCAGCCCGCCGGGACGTTACAAAACAAACCCGCGCTTCCCGCGGCGCACGCGCATCGCCGCTCCCGCCCACCGCGCGTGCGCGGGGGCGGCGCGCTGACGGAGGGGCCGGTGAGAGGTAACGGGGGGATCCCATCCCTGACCCCAGCCCGATCCCTTTCCTTGTCCCCGTCCGTGTCCGGAGCCCCGAGCCCTGCCCCTGTCCTTGTCCTTATCCCCTCTCCCAGCTCCCGGCTGGCCCCATTGGCTGCCCGAGGGGCGTGGTGGGGGCGGGCGCGGTCCCGGCTCGGAGGGCGGAGCGTCCCCGTCCGGCTGTGGGTGCTGAGGAGAGAGGGGTGCGGAGAGGGGGTGACAGGCGGGCATGGGCGATGGGCAGAGGGGAATTGTCTGAAAGTGAACAAGGGTAAGTGCAGCGTCCAGCTCCGCGGCAGGAATAAGCCCGGCGTGCAGTAGGAAGAGCATTGCCAGGAGGAAGGTGATCCCGCCCCTCTGCTCTGCCCTGCTGAGGCACATCTGGGCTGCTGTGTCCAGTTCTGGGCTCCTCAGGACAAGAGAGACATGGAGCTCCTGGAGTGGGTCCAGTGGAGGGTGCCAAAGATGATGGAGGCACTGGAGCATCTCCCTGACAAGGAAAGGCTGAGGGATTCAGTTACAGTTCAGCCCCGGGTGTCCCTGTGTGCAGCAATGGCACCAGAGAAACGGGCAGGAACTGATGCCGAGGAAGTTCCACATGGACACAAGGAAGAACTTCTGTAATCTGCAGTGACAGAGCACTGAAGAGGCAGCCTCCACCAACAGGCTGTGGAGTCTCCCTTTCTGGAGATATTCCAGAAATGTCTGGACACACTCCTGTGCCCTGTGGTCTGTGCTTGAGCAGGGAGGTTGGATCAGATGAGCCACTGTGGTCCCTTCCAGCCTGACCCATCCTGTGACCCATGCAGGGGTGTGAGCACAGGTTGCCTTCCTTCCTGGCTGCAGCATCACATCCCTGCAGGGCATGAGTGTTCCTCAGGAGCTCCTCTGTGTTCCTCAGGTTACAGGCATGCCACACTTAGCATATATATTATTAAAGCACATGTTTGGAGGGTGTTGCTGCAGTGATACAGGTGCTCTCCAGTTTTATGAAGGATTTCTCATATAGGTGTCATGTTTCTTGGGAGTTGTGAAAAAGATGAGAGTGAGGAAGTGACTGACCCTTGAAGCCAAGCTGTAAAGGTTTTATTTTTGTAAGGAGCTGCAAGGATATGGTATGGAGAGCAGAAACAGAGGAGCTTACAGCTTTTAAGAGTTACTGAACTCACAGACTGGTTTGAATTGGAAAGGACATGAAAGATCATCTCATTCCAACCCCTGCCATGGGCAGGGACGTCTTCCACTAGACCAGGTTGCTCCAAGTTTCATCCAGCCTAACCTTGGACACTTCCAGGGATTGGGCAGTCACAGCTTCTGTAGAAAATTTGTGCCAGGGCCTCACCACCCTCACAGGGGATTGTTCACATTGTTGCCCCTATCAGTTTCATGCATGGTGGGACGAGCTCTGCAGCTTGTATTGTCCCTGTGTTCTCACATACCACATTTTTTTTCTTCTTTTTTTTTTTCAATGTCTCACTAGTTTCCATCCAGCCCAAGCCATCTTTTCCAAAGTGTGTGATTATATCAGCAATTTTCTGACAGCTCACTTCTTGCAGAGTGCCTCCTTGATGCTGGAGACTGGGAAGAAATTCTGTGAGGGTGGTGAGGCACTGGCACAGGTTGCCAAGAGAAGTTGTAGCTGCCCCAGCCCTGGAAAAGCATCACTCTTTGACATGAAGGAATTCCTAGATGAGAGAGATGTGAAGCTAAGAGGGTAGCTGGCCATGCCATCTTCATGTCTCACACTGGCTTTTCAGTGACTAATTAATGTCAGTGATTCTGGGGGACTGAAATAAGTACACATCTCAGACGTGGATATTGATAAGTTGAGGGAATGTTTTCCTTGGTTAGAGGAAGATGCCGGATTTTTCCTGAACTCTGTTCCTGGTTGAAAGGCAAGAGGAAGGGCTGTCTGTCAAATCAGTGCGTGAACAACGCGTTTTGTTTTTCTCCTGAGGGATTGCTTTGGATTCAGCAAACTGCATGACCTCTCCATCCTCACAACTGCTATGTTAGGTGTGTATGATAATGCAAAATGGATGTTTTTATTTTGTCCAGCTTGCCCCACCCTGTGAGGAGAGCCATGCTGAGGGCTGGGGATGCTGTCCTGCGGCTGCGCCGCTGTGCGCCCCTGGCCTGGCGCGCCCTGCACAGGCAGCCGCTGCACCCCGAGTGGGCTGTCCTGGCTCAGAAGCAGCTGAAAGGCAAGAACCCAAAGGATTTAATTTGGCACACCCCAGAGGGAATCGACATCAAGCCTTTATACTCCAAAAGGGACACGGAGGACTTCCCTGAGGAGCTGCCAGGGGTGAAGCCTTTCACTCGAGGGCCCTACCCCACCATGTACACATACAGGCCGTGGACCATCCGCCAGTATGCTGGATTCAGTACAGTGGAGGAGAGCAACAAGTTCTACAAAGACAACATCAAAGGTGGGGCAGCTGGTCTGGGGAAACAACACTGCTTTGTGAAGCAATGGGGGACAGGAATTCAGTCAGTTACATGGAAAATGTGATTATTCTATGCTGTGCGTTTGGATTTCTGATCCCAGTGGCACTGTCTTATTACTGGGAAATTGGATCATTTCTGGAGGTGCCTTTGTGTCATTTTGCTGTGGAGAATGAATGTGTTAAATGCTGCTTTTAGTTATTGCACCTTATATATTGCACCTATTATGGACATAATTTGCATCCATCCCAGGGTTCAAGCATCTGAGATCAAGGATCTGAGGCAGAAGTTAGCTGGTAGCACAGCCCAGTCACTGGTCAGAGGGGGGAATGCCTGGGGACAGCTGAGTTTTGGGTTCTGCTTACAGGTTGCAGCAGCAAGAGCTCTGGCTGTCCTGTTCCCTGCTTTATATGAATAATTCTCTCTTACTGCAGATTAACAAATAACAGTGTGTGTCAGTAGAGCCAGGGAACAGTCTGTGGTGTTTAGTTTGTGATAAAGAGAAGGTAATGTGGCAGAGTTTGACACTTCTGTTCCCAGCAAAGCCAAGCTAAGTTATGTGTATAAGCACTTATACTGCCTGTCTAGGTGTATCTATAACTTGTGGGTTAGCTGTTATCCAGCAATTTTTAAAGCACAGTAAGGACTACCTTTTTGGCTTTTTTTTCCCAGATAAAATCTTCTTTATTTGAAGCTAAGACTACTAGACCTCAGACAGGTTTGGGGAGGGAACAGTGTGTAGCATCAAAATTTAGTTTGCCATCCAAGCCTGAGTCATGTAAGATAGAGTGAATATATTTAGATCCCATCCTAATGGAAGTCTGTTCAACACTTCTAACTATATCTCTTTTTTTGTTTTTGTTTTTTTCGTTTCCTTTTCATATAGCTGGCCAGCAGGGATTATCAGTTGCTTTTGATTTAGCCACCCACCGTGGTTATGATTCGGATAATCCCCGAGTTCGAGGAGATGTTGGAATGGCTGGAGTTGCCATCGACACAGTGGAAGACACCAAAATCCTTTTTGATGGAATTCCTTTGGAGAAAATGTCAGTTTCCATGACAATGAACGGGGCAGTCATTCCTGTGCTGGCTACATTCATTGTGACTGGGGAAGAACAGGGAGTGCCTCAGGCCAAGCTGACAGGGACAATCCAAAATGACATCCTGAAGGAGTTCATGGTCAGAAATACCTACATTTTCCCCCCAGAACCATCCATGCGGATCATTGCTGACATCTTCCAGTACACCTCAAAGGTATTCATGGTTTAAATGTGTAACTTCTATTACTAGGTTAGGTGTTTATGAGACACTTCGGAGAACAACGAAAAGATGTCATAGAGAAGGTTGTGGAAAGGGCCAGTAGGAGAAGTTAAGATCCAACACCAATTATAATATAAATCTGAAGTTTGAGTCAGACCAGATCTGCAAACACATCTTTGTAGAGACGGGTTGTATTTGCAGTCAGCAAGGAGTTCAGAGAATGGACTGGAGACAGGCTGAGAGAGCTGGGGATGTTCAGCCTGGAGAAGGCTCCAGGAAAACCTCATTGCAGCCTTTCAGTACCTAAGGGGGGGTTTATAAAATAGATTGAGAGCAACCTTTTACACCAATAGAGACAACTTTTTACACAGATAGTAACAGGACAAGGAGGATTTAGATTAGATGTTAGAAGAAATTCTTCCCTGTGAGGGTGTTGAGGCTCTGGCAGAGGTTTCCCAGAGAAGCTGTGGCTGCCCCATCCCTGGAAGTGTCCAAGGCCAGGTTGGAGGGGCCTGGGACAATCAGGGTTAGTGGAAGGTTTCCCTGCCCTTGGCAAGGGGTGTTGAAACTAGATGACGTTTAACTTCCTTCCAACTCAAGCCATTCTGTGATTCCATGTTGAAGTTAATAGAACAAGTATTTGGTACTCTCTTCTGCTGTTGTATCCTGTTGTATCTTTTTTTTTTTTTTTCAGTATATGCCAAAATTTAATTCCATTTCCATCAGTGGGTACCACATGCAAGAGGCAGGAGCTGACACCATCCTGGAATTAGCTTATACCATAGCAGATGGCTTGGAGTACTGCAGAACTGGGCTTAAAGCTGGCCTCACTATTGATGAATTTGCACCTAGGTGAGCTCCAGAAATTTGCAAGTATAAAACTCACTTTTGGTAAAACCTCTGTAGAGTTTAATATCAAATTCAGTATTTTTACACATACAAGCAAATAGAAACATTTCCATCATCTGTGAAAGTACATTAATCAGAGACCTTGCTGTAGGGCTTCTACATTACTGATCCAGAGTTATCTGAAAGATTCAATGTTATCTTCTGTTCATGTTCTCCTATCACAGGCTCTCTTTCTTCTGGGGAATTGGCATGAACTTCTATATGGAAATAGCAAAGCTGAGAGCTGGGAGGCGGCTGTGGGCTCACTTGATTGAGAAAATGTTTAAGCCCAAGGATTCCAAATCTCTTCTGCTGAGAGCTCATTGTCAGACTTCGGGCTGGTCACTCACTGAGCAGGTTAGAAATTAGACTCTCATCAATCTCCTTGCTTAAAGGTGTTCCCATGGTGTGTGTCTTAAAGGGTGTTAATACTGCTGGTGCTATTCACAAAGGTGCAGCAGCTGTCCTCTCACTCTGACAAATGCACACCACATTGGCATTGGATGCACCTTTATGTCAATTCAGGACTCAGGATGAAGCTCTCTCTTGGATTTGTCCTGTGAGTTATCCTTCCAAAATGCAGTGCAGTCAGCAGATAGAGGCACTTTTTTCTCAGGATCACTGGTTTGAGAATTATTTAAGCAGCCAAGGGAGTCTTTCACACACCTGATGCTCAGGGCTGAAGACAGAAGTAATGGTTACAGCTCATCTGCTCCTTTGAAACTGGGAGCACGCTCTGCTCTTCCTGCTGATTTACCTTACAGCAAGGAGATAAACCATTAGAGTGCATACTGTTTCCCAGGTGAGATCAGAGCCTGCTGCTCAATCGAAGTCATGTAATAGGAGTTATTTTTAGGTTGTGATTGTAAGCCTTATTGACTTCTGTGCATTTTTTTTTTTCTTTTTTTTTTTTTTCTTTTTTCAAATAAATGTAATGTTTACTTACATTACAACAACACAAAACTAAAACAGTGGAATTTTCTGAACAGTGGCCTCTGTGGGCCCTCCACTTAAAAGTATTGTGGGAGTGCAAGAATGTTACTATTACCAAAATTATATTCAGTTGTCTTCCAGTGTAAATATATTTCTGGCTAGATCATAACTCTTTCTTTTTGTCTAAACATTGTGGTTTATCTTAGTATAGCTTCTCAGTGTGCAATATTTTCTCCTTATAGGTTTCAGAGGGCAAATATACTTAACATGCCTTTAGATAGGTATCTACTCATAAATTATGTTTTACATTCTTACCTATCCAAATCACAGTTTTCTATAATTACCTTATGTGATGCTGTCATAAATGAAAATATTTAAGCACATTTAGTTCCAAAACACATCTTGACTAGTAATTTGTCTGACACATTTACTGTTCACTCCTCCAAGAATTCTGGATTTGGAGGATAAAAGACATCAGGCATACTGTTCCATCCTCTCTAATTTGGATTCACTCAGTTCTTTGAAACATCACTAAGCATAAATTAGTCTTTTATTTGTTGCTGTGAGCAGCTTTCTTTATGGATTAATCTCTTTGTTAAGATATCGACAAGTGATAAATCAGTTAGATTTGGGCTTTTTTCAGCTTTTGTTTTGATTACACTGTTTCAGTGGGCAATTTTGCATTTGTTTCTTTGCAATAATGACTAACCTGCCTCAGCCCCGTGCCAGAACCACTGAGCTTCAGAGCTCCCCTTTTCCTTCCAGGATCCCTTCAACAACGTCATCCGCACCACCATCGAAGCCATGGCTGCGGTGTTCGGGGGGACGCAGTCTCTGCACACCAACTCCTTTGATGAAGCCTTGGGGCTGCCCACAGTGAAGAGTGCTCGCATTGCCCGCAACACACAGATCATAATCCAGGAGGAATCAGGGATTCCCAAGGTGGCAGATCCCTGGGGGGGATCTTACCTCATGGAGTGCCTCACCAACGATGTCTATGAAGCTGCTTTAAAGGTCAGTTTGCAAAACTTTCTCTGGGAAAATTTTAGGGATAGGAGTTTTGAGAAGTGTCTTCTAAGGACTGTGTGATAAATCAGTAACTTCTAATCAAGGAATTATTTTACACTTCTGCTTCAGTGATGTCTTTGTAAATAAACTTTACAAAACACAGTTTAGCACACAAACCATATAAAAAAGGTTTAATCAAAATGTGGGTGGTAGGACAGGTACAAAGCTCAATTTTTAACCCTTGCTACTACTCACTATCTCGATCCTCTTAATTTCTCAGCTTATTGAGGAGATAGAAGAAATGGGTGGAATGGCCAAAGCTGTTGCTGAGGGGATCCCCAAACTTCGTATTGAAGAGTGTGCAGCCCGGAGACAAGCCAGGATTGACTCTGGTAAGAGCTGGGGGATGAAAGAAAGGAAAGTTGCCAATAGCATACTTCAGTATAAAGGTTTTTTACAGACATGTTCATTGTGATTTTTTTATTTCTCAGTTTAGGAGTAGCAGATTGTGAGTGCTAGAACAAATGGTGATGGTTTTTTGTCAGTGAAAGGTCTGGAAAGAGACAGAGTGTACGAAATACAGCACCAGTGTGAAAAGTCTTGTTTGACATGTTCAAGATTAGATTAGACAAAGCAGCAGAAACATCATTTTAAAGGAGTGTTTGTAGCCTTCAGTAGGGAATGGCTTGATTTCTGATAGGAGCTCTAAGATGTGATTCCTGCGTTTAAAAGCAGAAATGCCACCAGATGGCGATACTCACCGTAGCTGGCAAAATTCCTGGGTTTTTCTGGAAAACTGCCCGTGTTTCCTGAATGGTCAGATCATAGCAGGGGATGATGCAGCTCCCTGTTTGCTATACATATGTGTATATACTCAAGGAGTAAGTATTTGTGGAGATATTTATACATGTGTGCTTAAAACACTATTCCACTCTTTGTAATCTGCATTCCAGTAGTAATCCAGGAACAGAAACTAGAGATAACTCAAACATGAAAGAAGTTATATGGACTTCTTTGTATGGAGGATAAATTTGAAGCAGGTCTTAATTAAGGCCAATAAAGAATAATCAGTAAAGTTCTGTGTTTTCTCTTGTAAGGTAAATGATTTAACGTTGCTTCAAAGAGTGTATTAATGTTATCAAGCACTGCAAATAAAAATATCTGATAAGTCCATAATGACTGAAACCTAAAATATAGTTTTCCAACATGATAAATTAATTTTTATGCACATGGAGTAGTTTTAGGTAGAAACTTCACTTTCTTATCTATCTGTTAAATCAGAAAAGTAAATGCAAAGCAGGAGATCAGCACTTCTGCATAGTTCTGTCAGATACACTTAAGTAAATTTAAAAAGAGAAAAATAGCCAATGTATTTTAGGGACTCATTACTAAATCAGTTTGCAAGATAAATATTGTTCTATTTCATATTTCATTTTCTGCTGGAGTATTCACTGAGTTGAATGTTCATGCATTTAATCTCTCATCATAAAATCTGGGAAATACAGACTTAAAGAATCCGTTCTATAAGAGCAGATTTTACATATTTGAAATGTGTATGGTTATATAAGCAAAGCAATGTCTAATTATGCTCAAAATCTTCTTGTCCTGTTAACATGTCTTTTCACAGTAGTTTGCAAATGTGTTCTGAGTTTCTGGTGTTTCCACTGGAAATAGGGTCTGAAGTAATTGTTGGAGTGAACAAGTACCAGCTAGAGAAAGAGGAGACAGTGGAAGTTCTGGCCATTGATAACTCTGCAGTCCGTGCCAAGCAGATCGAGAAAATCAACAAGGTGAAAACAACTTTCTTAAAAATGAAACTTATTCTAATTGCAGACAGAGATTAAGTAAAGGCAGCTTGCCAGAAGTTTGACCTTCCAATTTATGAGAGTCCATTCTGGTCATTAGTGCAGAAACTGGAATATATGTTGAAACTGGAATATAGATGTTTAAAAATATGTTCAACCTTTAAAAATTGAGAGCTTTACATGTTCTGAAAATAAGATGGAAACCATCTATGCAATGTTTTGCCCTAAAAGCCTGTAACGTTGCTTAATCACTCACTGTTGGGTCCTTCTTGTCAAATGCTACTGAGGGTTACAGAACCAGAAATCAACATACACTTTCATAATCAGTGAAAACACAGATAAAATTGGTTTAGTGTTATCTTATGGATTTGTACACATTGTAAGGTCCAAGATGTCTTTTGACTTCTAATCTCATTGAAATAGGAAGTGGATATTGACAATTCCACATCCAGAATTAATATTTGAAATTAGTCTTCCACACTCAACTTCCCATTTCACTTTGTGGTTTCTTTGAACTGAGTGTCTCTCTCCTGCACTTTAGGTGAAAGCCAGCAGAGACCAAGCAGCAGCCCAGCGGTCCCTGGCTGCTCTCACACAATGTGCTGCCACTGGGGAAGGCAACTTGCTTGCTCTGGCAGTGGAAGCAGCACGTGCCAGGTACTGGGGTTGAGCAGCCAATTCTTACTTAAAAACTGATGGTTCATTTCACCTTTTAACTTTTCTTGGGTGTGGTGTCAGCAAGATTGGAATTTTGGGGTTTTTCATTAGAGGTGGAAGTAAATAATGCCTGCAGTTTCTCCTTGTAAGACAAACTATTATTATATTACAACTTCTTAAGGCAATGCTTTGATTTCTCACAAGGAACAGTATGGATATAAAGAATCTGATATGAAATTAGGTTGTTTGTACACATTCTGCTGTTTACAACTCATATTCTTAACAGTTCCAGGATGTAATTGAGTTTCTCTGTCACTCAGCTGTTTCATGGGTGAAGGAGTTTAAGAAGTGTCTGAGATGTGAAAATGGATATTCACAGTCTTATCATGCTCTGTTGCTTCATCCTTCCTTGCACCACAGATTGGTGTGAAAACATTTTTTGGCTGAAGGAGAAATCAGTTTGCTTAGTCAGGCAAAGTTGTAAGAAATGTTCTTGAGCAGTGTTAGGCATCCTTAGAGTCCAGGGAAACAGTTCTTTTTTTCACCCAAGGTGCTTTTGAGGCTGTTTTCTTTCCTGTTTCAAGGTCAGCATCAGTCTCTAGAATAGATTCTGTCTGTCTGTTCCTTAATTAACTAAATGGCCCAAATATGGGCAAACCAAATTCACTCCTTATTGGAGTGCTGCCCTGTTTTTACTGTCAGGTCTCAAATTCCTTCATTCCCATTCCTAGAATACTTAATAACTGTATTTTAAATCCATTTAACCACAACCTGTCAGGAATCTCCAGCAATATGTCTACATTTGTCTTGGAAATGGGAAGGTCACAGGAGGGCAGTGTTGGATTTACAAGGAATTCGTATCCTCTATATCAAAATTGATCAGTTAACTCCTAATTTCTCTCCTTGGTGACTTTGTTTTTGTTAACTGTAAAAGCTTTAATAGACTGAAGATGCACTTTGTAAGTTCCAACCACAGAACTTAATTCTGCCCCAAAACTATATATGGGATGTGACCACAGAAAGAAACTGCCGTGGCATCTGATACAGAGTGTTTGAAGCAGGATTGTGAACTCTGGGAACATGTACAGGGAGCCTTCTTGTTGGGTGCAACATGGGAAAAGGTTTCAAACTTAACACATTCACCCTTCACAAGCAGTAAACAAGTGGGCCAGATGTTACCTGTATGAGAGGGACAGCTGCCTCTTTCCTGGCCAATGGAAAATGATGGATTGTGAGTATGGTGTATTATAACTCACTTGGAATAAAATGAGTAGCACAGAATTATCAGTGTTGAGCTATGGAAAAGATTCTGTAGACTAGTACAGAGATTTCATTGCTGACAAACACAAGTAGAAAAGTTGATGTTGATATTCTAACACAAGAAATAAGGCAGATCTGAAGTTACAGACAATGAGAGCAGTACCTCCCTTCTGTGCTTCATGTCTCTTGAGAAACCCCATTACAGGAAAGTGGGACAGGTTACACAAAGTTCTTTCTCCCACACCTGCTGTGCTGCTTTTGTGTTCCTTTTCAGACTTGCAGTTTAGTGATGGAAAGGGAAGGCAGAAATGCAGTGTAGCAGCTTGTGCTTCTCCTTTTTCTGCCCAATCTGTGTCCTCATGGTACTTCCTCACCTGATTTCACACTGCTGCCTCTGCTTACTGAGGAAATGCAGAGAGGAGCAGCAGCAGCTGAGACTGAGCAGACCCTAATAGGCACATTGTGGTCATTGACTTTCTCCAAACTGGTGTTTAGGCTCTGCAGCTGGTTGTGAACCACTGGGAGAGAGTCACACACAAATACAGACTGATAAAAATGGTTCTGTATTTGTGGCTCCAGAGACAGCTATTCCATTGTGGATGGATGTGTGGCAGAGATTTTAAAAAGAAAAAGTTTATTGGTTAACAGCAGGAAAGTACTCATGAGTAGTTTAAAAGCAAAACTCCTGTTATTACTTAAAAGCTTTAGATTTAAAGGGTTGCAGAGATTTGGGACACAGTTTTCAAAATACAGGGGTTTCAGAAGCAATGTCTATAGAAGAAAGAAGTGTGTTTAATTTTTGTACAGTACACAAAAACAATTTCATCCCAGGCACCAGGTTATACCTCATTTATTTTTCATTTGTAACATGAAAATTTCTTTCACACTTTTTCATAATAAGAGCACATCACAGCCATGCTGGGCTTTATTTAATACTGAGGTATACTCAGATACTGCTTCTGCAAAAGTTGAGGAGAAAGATTTATCTAAGCTTAATTTTCTCTAGAAAAAAGATGTGCTTTATGCCACTGTAGCCCTTCACCACACTGCCAGGAGTAAGCCCTCAGTGTTTGTGCATAGAGTGTATTTATTTTGGGCTGCAATCTGTGATGTCTGGCACTCTGAAAGGGAGTCAGTATTTATAGACACTGTTTTTAAGTCTGCTGCAAACTTGCTTTTTAACCTTGGGGAAGCCACCTTCCCTAACATACTTTTGCAGTTTACTTTTCATTCTTTGTTAGAAGGTATAGAAAGCAATAATATTAATAAGATTATTTTGATATCCTGAAAATGTAAACCTGATGGCACAGTGATTAACAGTGAGTCGAACAGAATTCCAGAAAGCCAGGGAAGGAGAAATTACAAAAATGGCCAAAACAGTATCAATGACATGAGTTAAAAATGTGTGTTCCAGAGTGATGCTGTCTTTAGGCAAAGCTGGCCAACTGTGAAAAGTGATGCCAGAGATAAGAGGCTATTTCAGATATCTGAGCTGTATAGATCTTGATATGTGATCACAAATGGATTTCTGACATTTTACCTTTGCATAGTTTACATTTGTAACTAAGTTTGCTGAGTATGAGCCAGCAAAAGAACAAATTAGTTGGGGGGAGCAGAGGAAGTACAACATCTCTCTGAAATTTACTGAAAGATTCAGTGAATGCAGCAGAAATCCATGATTTGTTACTTTAGGGGCATGTGTGGCAGGTTGCACATGGTCAGTACCTGCTGAAACTGCAGTAGAGGTGTGTGGACAGCAAGGTGCATCTTCTCCAGTCTTTCCTGAGCATTTTATATAAAAGCTTTAGAGAATGCTTAAGTTAATTTTGCCCCAGAGTAGCTTGTAGTTGAATCATAGAATCACTTAGGTTGGAAAATTCCTTTAAGATCATTGAGTCTAACCACTCACCCAGCACTGCTAATCCACTACTAACGCATGTCCTCAAGGGCCACATCTACAAGTTTTTAAATCCCTCCAGGGATGGGAACTCCACCACTGCCCTGGCCAGCCTTTGCTACTGCCTGACACCCATTTCAGTGAAGGAATTTTTCTGAATTTCCAACCTAAACCTCCCCTGGTGCAACTTAGGGCCATTTCGTTTTGTCGTGTTATTTGTTACATGGGAGAAGAGACCAACCTCTGCCTGGCTCCACCCTCCTTTCAGGGAGTTGTATAGAATAAATATAATGTGGCAGGAGAAAATATGAATTCCAGAGGTTTGAAATGTGGTAGCTTAATTAGTTAGATACTTATTACTGCTTTGGTGTCTGTATTTGTAAGCACAGTTTTGAAGTGGTTTAGAAGAGTAGTATTTTTATTTCCTTCCTTTGACAAAGTTTGCAGCAAGTTGTATTCACCACCAATTTTTCAATTGCTTTGGGATAGAGGCTGTTATTGCTGATGTTTGAAGGCAGCACAGCCTAGTTTGCCTCTCTCACTTGTGCTACAGCAGAAGTATTATTTCAAACATGTACAGTGTGTCCAGTAGCAAACAAAACTTGTAACTTGCACGCAAATTTCCCAGATCCTTCTGCATCTAGTGCGTAAAGGAGCTGTGTCAGGAGTAGAGAAGAACAAACACTAAAATAAAATTATCAATGGAAAGACAAATAAATTCCTGTTAAAATGTTAGGTTTCAGTCTCTTCTATATATTCCTATTTTTTTGTCCCCTCTTGATTTATATTTTATATTTTAGCATGAGTCCAAATGCAGGATCTTTCAGTCTGAGCCCCCCCAAAAAAAACATTCAGAAAATCTGATTTAATCTAATTTTCTGAAGCATTTTGCCATTTTCCATTGCCTTGCCAGTTGTAAATCAATTCTCACATGAGCAGTAAAATATTTTCTTAAAAATGCCTGTGCATGTTTTGACAGTGGGTGGCAGTGGGGTGAGCTGGATTTTCACAGTTGCAGCACTGAAAGGGAAACCAATGTAAGTAAATTCGTCCAGCAGCAAGGCAAATGGTTGGGCCAGTGCCAGTGATGTCTGTGTTCTGTTTTCATTTCAGCCTGCTGATAATAGGAATGGTTTTTGTCTGTGCCTCAGGTGCACTGTGGGGGAGATAACAGATGCCATGAAGAAGGTGTTCGGGGAGCACAAAGCCAGCGACCGCATGGTGAGCGGGGCTTATCGCCAGGAGTTTGGGGAGAGTGATGAAATCCTCCATGCCATCAAGAGGTGAGAACTCTTCCCAGATAGCCAAACATGAAATAGCCTCATGTTTGATCCAGGAGGTACATGTGCTACTGACTATGCCCTAAAAAAACATTTCCCAAACCTGGGTGACATCCCTGAGGAAAAAAATGACCTGCAAAAGCACTTTCCTAAGCAGGAAAGTAGAATGGCAAGGATTAAGTACAATAAGACAAAGTCAAAACTTAATAAAACTTGTATTTGCTCTCAAATAAAATTCACTGAGGTGAAGTTAAGATTTGAGGGTTTTGTTCAAATAGCCTAAGCTGCTGCAGGATTAAGAAGCTGAGAAACATTGCCTGAAATCCCTGTCCATTGGGTTGCTTCTTTTAAAGGCTGTGTAATAGTCATCTTTAAAATATTTCCAGCAGTTCATGCTACAAAAGCTTGTTTTGATCTACCCATAAATTGTTCCTGCAATTTCACTCTTACTGATGCTAAAATCTGTCTGGATATTCACATACAGCCTCCAATCTTTGGTTATTACTCATACCCTGAAGGAGAAGGCATCCCAAGATGTTGGTATGTGTGAAAACAGTTGCCTTGTGGGTCTTTTCTCAGCTTCTGCCTTTACTGCTGCCCTCAGGGGTACAGAGCCTGAAATGCTGCTGTGGGAAATGATGCAGCACAAATCAATCCCTGCTGTGTTGGGGCTTACTCATTAAAGAGTTCAGGCTCTTCTGAAAGGGAATTTTTGATGGCTTTGCAGTGGTGATGATTAGATTGACTTGAAAGTAGTTGTGCTAGGAAATGTTACCATTGCTCTTTTATTTTAACTATTTAAATTTAACTATTTTTAATTATGCTTTTACGTGAAAGAGAACTGAACTAATCTTGATTTTGACCCTTGAAAATCAGGATGTAGCTCCCTTTCTTACATAGAATCACAGAACCATTTAGATTGGAAAGGAGTTCTAAGATCAGCAAGTCCAACCTGTAACCACAGAGAGATGCTGGTGGTACTTGAATAATGAGCAGTATGATGACAGGTTAATATCTGAGTCTGTGATTACACAGTAACATCAATACAACAGAAATATGAACTGCCACGATCCCAAAAAAAGAGGGGCAGTGGAACGAGTGCACAGAATAGAAGATACAATGATCCTTCCATGTACAGATTTTTACTCAGTGGAATGATAATGCACAATGTGACATCCAGGACCCATCTCTGTGCAAGTACTTTTGAAATAATAGGTCATAATTATTCTTAAAAACTAAAAAATGTGTTTTGGTGAGTTGTAATTTAGCTCATTAAACCCTCAGAGAATTCAGTATTTTACCTGTTAGAAAGCAAAAGAATAAGGGAAGATTTTTTTAAAATAAAGAATATTTTCTTGTTGAGGCTGCTAAGTACAAGAAGTGAGTTAGTAATAACATAACATGAATATTAACATTGTGTGCAGATTGCACAGCCAAACCATGACTTAGAAGATCTTTTTATTTGCTGAAATTTTGCTACACTTGCAGAAAGTGATGGGTTTTTTTGTGTGGGATTGCACTGTGACTTGCAGTGACAGAATGCATGTTTTCAACCAGAGTTAACAAGTTCATGGACCGTGAGGGCCGCAGGCCTCGTATCCTCGTTGCCAAGATGGGCCAGGATGGCCACGACAGAGGGGCCAAAGTCATCGCTACCGGCTTCGCAGACATCGGCTTTGACGTGGACATAGGCCCCCTGTTCCAGGTAGGACTGAGCAGCAGCCAGAGCATTCCCTTTGCATCCCCTGTCCCCAGGGCCGTGCCCAGCCCCGGGCTGGGCCCTGCCCTGTCCCCTGTCCCCTGTCCCCTGTCCCCTGTCCCCTGTCTGCCCGCAGACCCCGCGGGAGGTGGCGCAGCAGGCCGTGGACGCAGACGTGCACTGTGTCGGGGTGAGCACGCTCGCCGCGGGACACAAAACCCTGGTGCCTGAACTCATCAAGGAGCTCAATGCCCTGGGCCGGCCCGACATCCTGGTCATGTGTGGAGGAGTCATCCCCCCTCAGGTACGGGCAGCATCATTTCCATCGAGCTAAGAGACTGATTTATCTCTGAGCTGTTGGGCTGTTTCCCCTGTTCCGGAATGTCAGAGCACTGAAGGTTTCTCTATACAGTCACCAGGGCCAGCACAGGTCTGTAAGGTGGGATCCCCCTGATCTGATTTTCTGTGCACCATGCCCTGGTTTAACTTTGAGTGTTTGTGGGATGGACTATACAGTTATGTTGTGAAAAGATGATCTTCAGGGAGAATGTTCTTTATGTTCTTTTGTTTCACATCATCAGTCCTTGCATATCGTTGGTACAAGCTGGCTTCTTTCTTAAGAGGTCTTTTGACTTCCAGTGATGATTGGGAATAGCCACAGCCAGTGACTAAGGCCTCTGTCAGGTCCCATCACCCATAAGCTGTATGTCTCACTCACTTTTCAGCCTCTCCTCACCTTCCCTATCATCAGGCAGGTGTTGCCTCTCATTCCCTCTGCTTTCTCCTAAACTGTTGAGCAGTTTGTTGAATTCTCTTGCAATCAGATCTGTGCTTTCATCTTTAAATTTTCCTTAGCTAATGCACAATCTGCCTGTCTCCCTCACCTTACAGCCATCCTCTGTCTATAGTGATCAAAAAACTGATTTTGCACATAAACCTCCTGTTATTCCCTTTTTCCACACCTCTCCCTTTTCTAGGCAGTTAAGTAAGTTCTCAGGAATGATAGAATTCTAAACTGAACAAACAAAACTCATAGTATTTTTCTTGGAGACAATTTGTGTTTTCTCCAGTATCAATGGGATGCTAATACCCTGTGGTTGGTGAAGTACAATATATCCTATATAGAAGAAAGAGAGAATACAGAACTGCTTCCCAAGTATTTTTGAAATTTCAGGACAGTCATAAAATTAGATTAATTCTAGCTTGCAAGAGACCACTGGCAGTCATCTGCTCCAAGCCCTTGTTTAAAGTAGTATTTTCAAATTGGAAGTTAGATCAAATTTAGGTTAGGTTATTCAGACTCGTATACAGTTAACTTTTGAATACTTTCCAAGGATTGTCATTAGTCTGACTCTAAAGAAATAAACCCTTTCCTATGGATATTTTTTTCTTTTTTTTTTCTACTTTCTAACTTCCACCCTTTTCCCATTTCCTTGAAACTGTGCTGCCTCTCTCTGGGACTTGTTGCTTTCTCAGGCCCAGCATAGAGGACAGAGCATGAACCAGTTAAATCAATTACCAATTGTCTGTTTCACTATTAACTACAGACCTTAAATCTCTTTTCCAACAGGATTATGACTTTCTGTATGAAGCTGGCGTTGCCAATGTGTTTGGTCCAGGCACTCGTATTCCAAAAGCAGCTGTGCAGGTGTTGGATGACATTGAGAAGTGCCTGGAGAAGAGGCAGCAATCCATGTGATGCTGAAATGTCACAACTCAGCAGCCTTACACTGACCACATGATTGTCAGCAAGGGATGGCCAACCACAAACCTCTGCTCCCACTGCCCCTGGCCTCATGTTTTGTGCTTTCTAAGAAAGTTCTAAACTCTCTGCTTGTTCTATTTGAGGATTGTTTATATAGGTACCCACAAGAAAATTTTATCTCGAGAACTATGATTTCAGGAAGTGAAGGGAATTGAAATAAGTGTGTTTGGGTTTTTTTCTCCAGATATACTGATAAATAAAATAACTGCTGCAGCTCTTTGGTTGGTCTCTTTTGCATGCAGAGAACTTCTTTTGAATTTTTTTGATAGTTATAGTAGACCTAGAACTCTTCTGGCAGTATCACTCATCAGCAGAGATGGGATTGAATCCAGCAGCACTTTGATTTGAGAAATGGTGGCTTCTCAGGGAAGGGCAGTGATGGGGACAGAGCACAGTGCACAGCTGCTCCTATACAGGCTACTGCCATATACAGCATTTGTATCTTATTAAGCCATGAAATTCAAAAATTATCTAACTATAGTTTTATAAAGAGAGTTATGTTGTGACTGCCCCATCCCTGGAAGTGTTCAAGGCCAGTTTGAGTTGGGCTTGGAGCAACCTGGGATAGTGGAAGGGGTTTGGAACAAGATGATCTTTCAGGTCCCTTCCAACCCAAACCACTCTATGATGCTGTGTTTCTCTGATTCTGTGAAGTTGTTCATCAAACAGCTTGTGTTTTACATTAATGAGCACCAAAACTGTTATGTGGGTGAAAGAAGAACCCAAGACAAAGTTTAAGTTGCACAGTATTACTGGCAAAGTAATGGGGTGGAATCCAAGCCTTTGTAATGTTATCCTCATGCTCTAACTTCTGGAATAATGACCTCTCTCAAATTTGATCTTTGTTCTTAAGTGAATCACATTTAATTTTGCAGATGGAGAATTGACCATTAACAGAAGTTTTCTATAAAAAAATCTGTAAATTATTCCTGTGCCTTAATAGCCAGAGACTGCCTAGAAGCTTTTTCAAAATAAGGCATTGAAATTAAACTTATTTCAATACATATCAGAGTTTTAGTTTGTTATCCAACTTTATACGTCATCATCTTTATATGATGGCATAAAAAGTGTCATATCTTATGATTCTTGATATGTCATAAATGGAGTAGGGAGCTCCATTGATCCTCAGTGGAAAGAAAGAAGCCAAAGGTGGCTGGCTCAGGTTGAGTGTCTGCAATGTAAACCTCCTAAGAGTGGTGAGAAAACTCCTAATAGGTGAGAGGTCTGATCTGTTTGAGATTTTAGATTAAATATTTGTTTGTGTTGAGGTGGTTGCACTGGTGATTGCAAACGTGAGGTTCCTAGACTCACTCCTGAACTCAGTGCTTGCATCCTGAAAAGACAGCACAGTCCAGGGCTGGGTAGGAAATAACCATGGAATTATAATTTGAACATAAATTACCTTCTCAGAACTTAAAAAAACAAACAAACAAACCTGGTGTTATGGTTCTACTGAAACAGCAAACTCTGTTCTCAGTTGCAGTCATGTCAGTGCTCTAGCCAGGGGGGAATTTGGGATCTCAGGAGCTCCCATGGAAGCCATGAGAGCCAGGACTGCATCTGCAGGGTGACACTGCTAGGAAGGTCCCCTGGGGAATGCCTTGTGTCATCCTGTACAGAAAACAGCTGCAGAGAAAGGGTGGTAAAACACTGGAACAGGCTGCCCAGGGAAGTGATAGAGTCACAATCCCTGCAAGTGTCCCAAAAATATGTGGATGTGGCACTGAATGATGTGGTTTAGTGGTGAACACGGTGGTGATGGGTTGATGTTTGGACATGATTTTAAAGGTATTTTCCAACCTTAACTTTTCCAATCCCAAAGTGTTCCAACAGCTTCTGTGGCAGAAGAGTTGTACCTCAGCCAGCAACAGCTGAAGGACACAGTTCCTGCTGAGAGCTTCCTTCCCTTCCCACTGTGCCATTTGGGACAGAGAAGGCATCCTTCACTGACTGCCACCTTCCCACCAAACCTCGTCCGACCAAGGCTGCTCAGCTCCGTGGATTTGTGCTTGGAGGAGTTGGAACTGCACCTCTGAGAGAGCAAGGAACCAGAGAGCTCTAATTTTGGGAGAAGCCACATTCTCACCTTTTCCTGGCAGTGAACATTTCTTGCTCCCCATATGGTTTTCAGTCTGAATTGCTGAAAAAATACACACTTAGCGATGTTTATTTGGTAACAGTGTGTGCAACCTTTGGTTTTCTCTCGTGGCTGTTTTACTGGTAGGGCCAACAGTTGGCAGATAGATTGCATTAAATAAAATCAAAAGTATAGGAAAACAACAAAAATAATAAATCTCTTTTTACCTGAAAATAAGTTTAATTTACATGATTTTATATTTGGCACATAAATCTATTTCCCCTAAGGTGGAATTTCTTGGGGGAAAAGTAGATTTTTATTTTTTTTTTCTCTGTGAGGCCTAAAGACAATATTTGAGAGTTGCTTAAAAATATATACTTAAATCTCTGTATTGACCTAAGATAGGCAGTGACAACCTCATTTCCTGCATCCCTGCCCCTTTGGACCTGGGAGTGAGGCCAGGCTGACCCCATGGCTGCACTTCAGGGAGCTGCAGCTCCCGGGTCCTGCACCTGCGGCGCCGCAGACAGACGGACGTTGTCCCTCCCGCTCCACATGGTGGACACGGGATTCTCCACGGAGTTGTCGGAGCTGAAGTAGTGAACCCGCCAGGCACAGCAGCACTGCAGCCTCTTGACCTCGCAGCGGAAGGTCTTGCTGAAGACGTAGTAAATGAAAGGGTTGTAGGCCGTGGAGGACTTGGCAAACAGGCAGGGCAGCAGCGTCACCATGGGCTGCAGGGAGTGGCTGGAGTTAAAGATGGACCAGAAGCTGGTGGCTGCATAGGGAGTCCAGGAGCTCAGGAATCCCACTGAGATGAGCACGGCCATCTGCAAGGGAACAGAGCTGTTTGCAGCTGGCACAGACAGGGTTGGATGCCCTGGCACACGAGATGTGAGTGGGGCCACACCTGAACTGCAACAGCCAAAGCTGTGCTTGCTGGGCCCTTGTGACAAGAGAGACATTGAGGGGCTGGAAAAGGGAACTGAGCTGGGAAAGGGCCTGGATTACAGGTCTGATGAGGAGCAGCTGGAGGAGCTCAGCCTGGGGAAAAGGAGACTCTGGAGAACCTTATCACTCTCTACGACTCCCTGGAGCATAGAGCCAGATGGGTGTCAGGCTGTGCTCCCAGGTAAAAAATGAAAGGACAAGAGGAAATGCCCTCAGGTTACACCAGCGGATGTTTAGATTGGATATTAGGAAGCATTTCTTCACAGGAAGGGTTGTCAGTCATTGGGACAGACTGCCCAGGGCAGTGGTAGTGTCACTGTCATTAGCAATATTTAAAAAAATGTGTTGCTGTGGTGCTTAGGGGCATGGTTAAGTGGTGGGCCTCTCAGTGCTCAATTAATGGTTGGACCTGATGATCTTAGAGACTTTCCCAGCCTGAATGATTCTGTGATTGTATGACTGGCCTCTAGAAAGCTTGGATCAATTCTGCTTTTCCACCATAGAAATGCACTACTGAAGTCCATATTTGGAAAAAAAAATACTATTTAATATTAATATATTAAAATACTGTTTCCACACAGAATTTCTGTGTAGGTGTCTGTAATTCCATGATTCTGTGAGCTGTGTAGGAGCAGAGCCAGCTCTCTGCCAGCTCCTGATTACTGCATGCTCTTCCCATCACAGGGATAACTCACCAGGGTCAGCTTCTTCTCCAGTTTGGCTGCGTTGGGGATCCTGTCAATATTCTGGATCTCCTGGTACGCTTTATGAACCTTCCAGGCAATCCCCAAGTAACAGGCAACGATGGTCAGCGCAGGCAGGACCGTGCACAGGAGGAACATGCTCAGGATGAAGGAGAAACCATTGGAGGAGTTGTGGAATTTGCTCCAGGCTATTGTACAAGAGATGCCAAAGGGCTCAGGGCCGTAGTAGCCCCAGCCCACCAAGGGCAGGATGGCCCAGAGCAAGGAGTAGAGCCAGATAAAAGCAATCAGGATGCAGACAGTGTTCTTGGTGATTTTGTTATCTGCAAGAAAGAGGAAGGGCAAGCATATATGGATCCCATCCCAGCCACGTGGGGGTTTGCCATAACTTCTCCTTAGACAGAAGGATGGTGGCTCCAGGCATGCCTGGGCTGTTGCTGCAGGTCCCTAACCTTTGGGCTTCTAGAGAAACAGAGTGTCAGAGGATTGGATGAGACCTGAACACAGCCTTCAGTGCTCACCTAGAGCTCAGTAAGGCAGGGAGATTTACAAGATCAATTTCACCTTGAATGTGCAGTGCCCCCAGCCCAGGAATGCCAGAAGAATATTCCTTCCTTTTAAATTCCAGTGCACCTGTTCGGATACAAATAGGAAGGGAAGGCAGTCTGGTCCAGGAAAACATTTGTGCTCTCCATTTTCAGGTAGTTTCACTTGGTAAAACTGAGAAGTGACAAGCCTCACTGTTTCATACAGATCCCTCTGGGAACACCGGGATTTGATACGGCACTAAAAGTTGAGGTTTATGCTGCTGTTACTGACCTGATAATCCACGCCACATTCCACAAAGCACCTCCCAGAGCAGCCCAGCCCAAGCACAGCAGCACCAGGTGAGCAGACGGGCGATTTACTCACTGTTGGATTTGGATGAGTTGGTGACGAGGAATCGAATCACGGCCATGGCACACAGGGTCATCATGCTGCAGACCCCCAAGAGGAAACCCATCAGGGCATAGTACACACAGGAGGCGTCCCCCCCCAGCCAGGCGTGGCTCCAGGCGGAGGCGATGGCCAGCGGGTACATGCTGAGGGCCATGCCAATGTCTGCCACCGCCAGGTTCACTGTCAGCAGCTCTGGGGGCTTCAGCAGGGATGAGCGTTTCAGAGCTGTGGCGAGGACGGCTGAATTGCCAAGGATTGTCAGGATGGCTGAAAGGGAAGGACGAAAACCAACAGGAATATCACATGGTTAACACACCTGGAAAATCCACTGGAAGCATGTGAAGTGCCTGAGAGGGGCTACAACAGAGCTGAGGAGGGACTTCTTACAAGAATACGTAGTGATAAGGGGAATGGCTTTAAACTGAAAGAGAGCAGGTCTAGGTTTGGTATTGGGTGTGAGGGTGAGGAGGACCTGGCACAGGTTACACAGAGAAGCTGTGGCTGCCCCATCCCTGGAAGTGTCCAAGGCCAGGTTGGATGGGGCTTGCAACAACCTGGGCTAGTGGAAGGTGTCCCTGTCCATGGCAGGGTTTGGATTGTCCTTCACTGCCTGCCAATGTGAAAGGTCACTTTCTGTCTTTTTTATAAGCCCCCTTTAAGTGCTGGAAGGCCACAATGAATTCTCCCTGTAGCTTTTTCCAGATAGAACCCCCCAGCTCTCCCAGCCTTCTCCAGAGCAAAGGCGCTCCAGCCCTCAGGGCATCTTTGTGGCCTCCTCTGGACCCACTCCAGCAGGTCCATGTATTTCTTGCACTGAGAAAGAATATCCTCACTTCTCCTTCCTGCTGAAGTCCTCCAGCCCTCCCGGCCACCTGCCCCCTGCAATTCCCAAAGCCTTCCCTCTCTGTGACCTCCCTCATCTTCAACTGGAGCCCCAGCACTGGGCTCTGAGCTGCCTGGGTGGTGGGCATGGGCTGATCCTGAGAATTAGCATGACTGCTCTGGTGGTCTCTGAGAGCAGTGGGACCATGGGAGTTGTTTAGCCAGGGGTGTGCAACAGACCCAGAGCTTGCTTTGCAAAAGGAGCTGTCAGACATACATTATTCAGGTGTGCCACAGGGCTTCAAAGTCCTGGTGACAGCAGTGTCAGGAGTACATGCACAAACAACTAATTTTCTCTCTTCTTTCAAGTGAACATGGTGCTGTAGCAACATTTTGACGAAAGTTTTTTTCTGAGAAGATGTCCTCTAAAGTCAGATGTGAAAGGGGGAGACAGAAAAAGATTCTGTCATGTTCCCTCGAGGCTGTGAGTGCAGGAAGGCTGCATTTGCTCACAGGTACCACTTAAAGTTTCCACAGAGGACTTAATAGAGGCACACACAATAAAATGGAATAAATATATTGGCATAAGTACATAATCCTCCAAGTTGTCAAGAGAAAGGCTTAACTGAAATGGGGACACAAATCTGAGACCCCATGTCCCTCCTTAATTGACTTTCTGACCACACACATTCACTTGCCACCTCTGGCTGCCCCTGAAGGGTTCCCTGAGCTCTCAGGATCTCTGGGGCTGCACTCATGGGCTGATGCCCACGGGGGCTTGGCCACTTGCTGGCAGAGCAACCTGAGGCTCAGTGGGCAGAGCACTCTCCAGAGGCTGGGACATGGAACCATGGAATCATAGAATCCTTTGGATTGGAAAACACCTCTAAGACCATCAGCCCCAACCATTCCCCAGCACTGACCAGGACACCTCTAAAGCATGTCCCCAGATGCCACATCCACACAGCTTTTAAATCCTCCCAGGGATGGTGACTCCACCACTGCCCTGGGCAGCATATTCCTGTGCTTCACAGTCCTTTCCATGAAGAAATCTTTCCTAATATCTAATCTAAACCTGCCCTGGTGCAACTTGAGGCAATTCCTTCTTGTCCTGTTGTTATCCAGGAGCAGAGGCTGAGCCCCCTGGCTGTCCCCTCCTGTCAGGAGCTGTGCAGAGCCACAAGGTCCCCCCTGAGCCTCCTTTTCTCCAGGCTGAGCCCCTTCCCAGCTCCCTCAGCCCCTCCTGGTGCCCCAGCCCCTTCCTTAGCTCCGTTCCCTTCCCTAGTCACTCCAGCACTCTGGAGTCATTCTGTTTCTCACAGTGAGGGTCCCAAAACAGAACATGCTCAGGCTTCAGGAGGAAAAATGAACCCAGTTCACCTTCTTCTGTAAGAGCCCAACCTTACACAAGATGCAGGAAGCAGCTCTGGCATCAGAGGTGACACCCAGGCCCAGCCTCTCCTTCCCCTTGACAGAAGCTCTTCCCCTCCATCCCACAGCTGTGGGCAGCTGCCTGGCACAGGACAGGACTGTAACTGTGGGACAGTAACCAAACAGCTGCTGGTGAATGCTGCTGCCCATGCCCTGGCCTTGTTCCTAATAAAAAATATAATTTCAGGGCACAAACGTGCAGCCCAGTGAGGTGGCAAAGCTATGGAGAAATAAATATGGATAAAAAAACCTGATTCCAGCTCAGCTCACTGTTTTGTTTCTGAGAGTCCCTGCAGGATGCAGAACCTGGCTGCCACACACAGCTCTGGATCTGATGCTGGGAGCTGTGCCTGGAGTTTCAGTGCCTCAGAGTTCTTCAGGAGAGGT